TCCAGCTGCTGACAGACCAGCTCCTGGCTCATGCGACCATGCCACCAACACTTAGCCTTACTACGAAACGAGAGACTGTACTCCCTTCTCTCCACTTCCTTGAACGAGAACTATCAAATGAAACCGTTGGCGACTCGACTCTTACTCAGAGCAAGAGTCATTTCGCAAGGTCAGGTCACTGCTGAGTTGAGAGCAGATACCAGAGATATGTCTCATGGAGCTGAGCTGGCGGCCGCCGCGCCGGTGCACGCGTACTTGCGCTCGTGACATCCGTGCTGGGGGCACTCGTATGTGAACCGTGGTGGCGTTGCCTCTGTGACCCAGGGGCTACCTGGCCGGCTCGAATACGCGGCGATGGCGGGCAGGGCGCCCGAGTTCGATGCGGTCGTTGAGTGCTTCGGTGCTTATACGCGGCGGTTAAATCAGTTCTTTGTGGCGCATGATATCGGGAGTGATCAAGAAGCAAAGAAGCGGGCCGTGCTGCTTTGTGCGATCGGCGCAAAAACGTTCGGTCTGCTGGAAGATCTTATTGCTCCAGCCACTGTAAGTGAGAAAACATACGATCAGCTGGTCAGCGTTTTGCAAAGTCACTTCGAGCCGGATAAATCTGAAATAGTGGCCAGATTCCGGTTTCATTCGTGCTTCAGGAATGACGGTGAGACAGTTGCTAATTTTCTAGCGCGGCTTCGTAAGCTGGCTAAAGACTGTTCGTTCGCACCTAATGTCCTTAATGAAATGCTGCGTGACCGTTTGGTCTGTGGCATACGGAACGAGTTGCTGCAACCTTGGTTCTCAGTGAGCCGGGGCTGACGCTCCAGTCGGCGGAGCAGCTGGCCCAGGCACACGAGTCGGCGGCAGCGAGTGCGGCTGAGCTCAACGGCGGTGCTGAGCAGCGAGCAGATGGAGCCTTCGTTCATCGGCTGACTGGTGCCCGGGGTCCGCTGCGGCTGCGTAGCAGTTCTAGGGGTGCCGGTGCTGCCCGCGCTCCTGCCGGCTACAGGGACGGCGGTGGCGGCGCAGCGGACTCCAGAGCTGGTGGTCGGCTGCGCTCTCAGCATGACAGGACGACGCCCGGGCCAGCACGGCGGCGAGCTGTTTCAGGTGCCTGAGGTATCATCAGCCGGACACGTGCCCGTTCATCGATAAGGTGTGCTACAGCTGTGGCCTCAGGGGTCACGTCCGAGCTGCCTGCAGGAAGAACCAGCAGCACCTCCGCCATGTCTCGGCTGATGGCGACGCGTTACAAGGGTCGGACGCGCAGGAGGGTAGCAGAGAGGACGGCACTACGCAACCGAGGAGTTCTAGTCCCGGGACCGGTGAGGAGGTGTACAGCATTTTCACCGTCCGGACCGGCCTCGGTGTCAGGCGACCGCCGCTGATGGTGCCGGTAGCGCTCGACGGTCAGAAGGTCGAGATGGAGCTGGACACCGGGGCGACTCTGTCGGTCTGCTCTGACGCCGGGTTTCGGCAGCTCTGGCCCTGTGGAGGGCCGAAGCTGGAACCGTGTTCGGTGAAGCTGAAGACCTACAGCGGTGAGCAGCTGCCAGTCATGGGGCAGCTGCTTCGTTCGAACGTTCACTGCAGCTGCCTGCAGTGAACGTTCAGTACGGCGGACAGGCTCAGCGACTACCTCTCATCGTAGTCGAAGGTGGTGGGCCCTGGCTGTTCGGCAGGAACTGGCTGGGACACATCAGGCTCGACTGGCCCTCCATCTGTTGAGTGACTGCGGAGACCCGTGTGCAGCCCATCCTGGACGAGTTCGCTGACGTCTTCAAGGAGGAGCTGGGCTGCTATCGAGGCGGGGAAGTCGCATCGACGTAGACCCGGACGTCCAGCCTAGTTTCTTCAAGCCTCGCACCGTACCGCTGGCCTTCAGGGAAGCTGCGGACGCCGAGCTGGAGGACCAGATCCGTGGCGGACTCTGGGAACAGGTACGGCACAGCAAATGGGTGGCTCCCTTGGTGGTTGTCCCCAAGGCTGGGGGTCAGTCAATACGGGTGTGTGGGGACTACCGCTTGACCGTCAACAGGGCTGCTAAGGCAGAGCAGTATCCCTTGCCGCGTGTGGAGGAACTGTACTCAAAACTGTCGGGATGTACCATATTTTCACAGATCGACTTGAAAAACGCGTATAATCAGCTTCCGCTAGATGAAAAGGCCCGCGAGTATCTCACGGTAGACACCCCGAGGGGTCTTCTTCGACCCCTTCGGTTGACCTTCGCCTATTCGAGTGCAGTGTCGCTGTTCCAACTTCCAGCGGACGCTGGAAACTGTCCTGGCTGGTATCTCCGGCGTTCGGGTCTTCTTGGACGACATTGTAGTCGCGGGTGTCGATGCCGCTGCGCATGACGAGGCCCTCCGGCAGGTTCTTAGACGGCTGGAGGAAGCGGGTTTTAGGGTCAACAAGGCCAAGTGTAGCTTCGGCGTCAGCAGCGTGACCTATCTGGGGCGTAAGATAAGCAGCCGTGGTGTGGAGACCACCGACGAAAAAACGGCCACGATTGTCCGTGCCCCGGAACCGCGGGATGCTAAGGAACTGCGTAAGTGGCTTGTAATCAACTACTATGGGAAATTCCTTGAGAACCTGGCGAGTGTCTTGGCTCCGCTCTATCGTCTTCTAAAGGCAGATCAGCCCTGGCAGTGGGCTGAGGCAGAGAAGTCTGCTTTTCGGAAAGCCAAAGAGATGGTAGTTAGCCCTCCTGTACTAGCCCATTTTGATCCCGCCCTTCCGGTGGTTCTCGCCTGTGACGCGGGGCCGGTCGGCATTGGCTGTGTGTTGAGTCAGCGGACGTCACAGGGCGAGCGACCTGTGGCCTACTATTCGCGCACGTTGAATGACACCGAAACTAGATACTCACAGACTGATAAAGAGGCATTAGCTGTAGTGACCGGCTTTAAGAAATTTCACTATTACCTAGCGGGGCGAACTTTCACTATACAGTCAGATCATAAGCCTCTCATAGGCCTCATAGGAGAGCAGAAACCTTTGCCCGTGATGGCGTCACCTAGGATGGTCCGCTGGGCTCTGATGCTTGGGGCCTACTGAGTACCGGCAAGGATCTAAGCAAGGCCACTGTGACGCGCTTAGCAGGCTGCCTTCGTGCGAGGAGGCTTGTTCGAGCGTTCCAATTCCGGCTGAGACTGTCCATTTACTTGAGTTCATCGACTCATCCCCATTCCCCAGTGAATGTGTCCCAGATACAGCGGTAGACCGCTCTGGATCCCGTGTTGTCAGCGGTACATCGATATGTCAGAGATGGCTGGCCGGATGTCAATAGTGTTTCCCTCAGCCCTGATTTTCAGCCGTGCAGGTCCCGTATAGGTGAACTGAGTGTGCAGGATGGCTGTGTTTTGTGGGGGTCACGAGTGGTGGTTCCGCCGCAGGGACGGGGTGCCATGTTAAAGTTATTACATGAAGGTCATGCTGGCGAGTGTAGAACCAAAATGTTGGCTAAAATGTATGTTTGGTGGCCAAAAATCGATGACGACATTCGTGATATCGTGAAGTGTTGTGTGAAGTGTCAGGAACTGAAGGGCAGGGCCCCTGACGCTCCACTGCATCCTTGGCAGTGGCCGACTCGACCTGGCAGCGAGTCCATGTAGACTATTGCTCGGCTAACGGATAGATGTTTCTGGTGATAGTCGACGCCCACTCCAAATGGATGGACGTCTACCCAACTCGTTCCTCCGACTCACTGATCACGATTGAAAAATTACGAGCGTCGTTTGCGTGCTGGGGAGTGCCAACAGTGCTAGTGACAGACTACGCCCAGTGTTTTGTATCAAAGCAATTCAAAACGTTTTGCAGTGTAAATGGGATCAGGCACTTAACGACACCCAGCCTATCACCCAAATCAAACGGCTTAGCCGAAAGAAGCGTGCAAAGCTTCAAAAACGGGCTGTACAAACAGATCTCGGGGTCCATTGAGACCAAGGTCTCTCGATTTCTGTTTAGGTACCGCACAACACCGCATACTACGACCTCATGTACGCCCGCCGAATTATTTCTGGGTCGTGTGCCACGCACTCATTTAGATGGTTTGCTACCAGATAGGCAGGAGCGTATACGGAGACAGCAGGAGGCTCAAAAGACGTACCGTGATCGAAATGCCCGTGAACGATGTCTGAACCCGGGTGACCCTGTGTATGTGCCTGCTGTCGATAGATTGCAGGGATTGGAGCGTTGTCGGTGGGCGCCCGGTCGTGTAGTGTTCGTAGAGGGAGTTAAGGTCACTGTGGAGCTAAATGACGTAAGGGTGATTGTGCGGCACGCCGACCAGGTTCATGAGCGATATTCAGCTGTTCCGCATGTCGCTAACGATCCTCTCCGTTCCAGAGTGACACCGATACCTGCTCCTGATCCGGTCACGGAGAGCGCCGCTGCATCTGCACGGCATGCTCCCGTTCCCGGACAACTGGCCTCCACTCCCGACCGGCTGCCGGCTCCTGATCGAGCGCCTGCTCCTGGCCGGCCGCCTGTTCCGGCGCCGCCAGGGCTGACCGGAGCGGTGCCCGCGCCGGGTGTGACCACCGTCCCGCCGTCCGCACCCTCTCCCAGCGCGCCGCGGTACCGGCTGAGAGACCGGTCCACCCTGCGGCCCCCAGACCGATACGTGGCGAGCTATGAGTAGGCGTTTTGTTTCAGTTGTTATTTGTTCTGTGATGTGCGTATTTATTTGCTTGTCCATGCTGTGCAAGTATTCGGGGTGGAGGAGTGTCATGGAGCTGAGCTGGCGGCCGCCGCGCCGGTGCACGCGTACTTGCGCTCGTGACATGCGCTCATGACACTCGTATGTGAACCGTGGTGGCGTTGCCTCTGTGACCCGGGGGCTACCAGGCCGGCTCGAATACAGTTTGGACCGAGACACCGTCTGTGATAATATGCATTCATCCAATTTTCCAGCTTCCACATTAAACAAGAAACTGTGCGAGCAGATATGGCGAAAAAATAGATGTCCGGATAATTTCGTTACACCCTGTATGTTCTAGTGCAAACTAATGCTATGATGCTAGGGGAGCGGCTGCAGGCTGGCGTAGCGCGTGCGGCCTTACGGTGGTTGGGTGAACGTGCCACCTTCTGCTGTGGGGTGGGTGGGATGGGGGAGGTCCTCCTTGACCCCGTGCCGGCCCCGCCACCTGTGCTGCGCCATCTTTGGGCTGGCGACGGTGTGGAAGCGCGTACCTTCCGTCAGTTTTCCAGGCATCTGAAGTCTGAACTCGGCGCTGGCCCTGTCGTCGATGTCTGCGCGTGAGCCGTGACGGGTGCCACAGCCTGCTGGCACCGGCGGGTACGTGCCGTGTACATGTGGTGCGGACTGCGGGACCGACTTGAACCACTCGAAGCCAACGGAGACCAGCCACCCTCATTCGCTCAGATTTATGTGAACGACCCACGAGCCGAAATACTGATGCCGAGGACCACGCACGCATTGTGGCATCACATAGAGAACACCTATTACATCCGGGAACGACTCCGATCGGCCATTTTCGGGAAATTTGCCGTCCGCGGTGAATATTCCTGGGAATATGCTCTGAACGTATCAACCGAATTTGATGTTAGTGCCGGACCCGTGGACTCGGAACTGCGTCACTAATGCCTGTTCATAAATGTAGCGCGGCGTGAGCCATCCATGGACTGCGTGTTTCTTTTTTCCAACCAAAGGTAAGCACTATACCTGAAGATGCTTCTTTGTAACCAAACCAAACAAAAACTAACAACCTAACCTAACCTAACTTGACCTAACCTACAGCCTACAAACCTACAACGCGCCAAAAATTTCAGCCGCCGGCGGGATTCGAACCTTCGGTCCTCTGAACACGGGGCGATTGCGCTAACCAACCACTTCACCTCGCAGACAGCTGGCCGGATAAAGGTATTGTAAGTCACTTGACAATGACGCACTGGGATATACTCCGTATAGCGCCTTCCTTTGATTGGAAAAAATAATTACTTACGCCCGTGGACTAGCCTCTTCAACTCCGTAGCAGTGTCTCCCAATCTGCGGAAAGTTCAGCTGGTCGCATGATAACCGTGGCGAAGTTTTCTGGCTCTGTTTCAACGGCTCCTTCATATTCCCTTCATATCAGCATAAGCCAGATTTAGGCTAACTTGCAATTAAACGATCAAAAATGTTAGCGTAAGTTTCGTTAGGGTAAATTAAACGGTGTTTTATTTGGTTAGGCTAAGCCCGAAAAACGCGTATTGATGTGCACGTGCGCAGTTCTGTGAAAGACATCTGAGCTGCTCACTTTCAGGCCTGTATGAACTAGAGTCGTCTGGGGCGGACCACGGACGTCTCAGTCTTGTTTAAATACCAGCCCGGTCCGACCATCGCGTGGACGAAATTTATAAACAAGCGTGGTCGCTGTCCATCACGCAGTGATCCAGGCCGGGCCGGTTCACTCCGACCAGTGACACGCGGCCGCTGGAAGAAGGCGCCGGCGCAGTGCGGGACGGAGTGCCGGTGTGGACAGACGTGGCCGACCGGCCAGCACAGGACCCCCGGCGGGCGGACCCGGCCTGGCGGCTGAGCAGCTGGAGAGCCTGGCTGACACTGTGTGCCAGGCCGAGTGGACCGGGAGCCTGCGGTGCCGCCGCTCCGAGCGCTGGTGTAGGGTCGGACGGTGCTGAGGTGGTCCTCCAGAGTCCGGCGGCGCTGAGTCCAACGCTGCCCCTCGAGGTGGACCCTGGCGTCAGACATGGCTGGCGCGAGGAGCAGCGACTTCAAAAACAGGGGGTCCGGCCGCGGCGCGGTCGTGGGCCGGGTCAAACGAATGGTGAGTCAGCGCACATGCCGAGTGCGTCTCAACACAGGGACTCGTCTTAAGAATTTTCACTGCGGGGGTTGGCTAGCTTACGCTTAGGTACCTATACTACATATCACATGCATTTTTGAAGCATATTGTACTGGGTTATTTGTGCCGTTGCCCGCCGCCCGTTCAGCGTAGGGACTATGTAATTTAGAATGCGCTGAAGCTTTTCCCACAAGCCATGCTCACCTTTTTGGTCTCTGAAAGATTTAGGCTGGACTGTAAACATGTCAACTTTGACGGCTATGAGCTATCACTTGTTTTTGTGGGCTGTTTTAGCTTCTCTCATCTCTGAACCATACAGCACGAGCGTCTTTGTCGAACATTGGGCTCGGGAAAATCGGGTAAAATGATTTATCATTGATGACTCTGGTGACCCGACCAATGGCAATGACCTCATTTAAAAAAAATATTTCAAATGCTTTGTCTATACCAGCAAAAACAACATCTGTTTGTAATGCTTAGTAGTGACAAGCAGAGGGGCTTCATTTACGACCGAATACAAGGCGCCGGCGTATGTACCTACTGCTTTTCCATACAAATATAGCTGTCTTCTTTTTTTTGGCGATGAACGAGCCATAGCAGCAATGAACCCTGAAAGTGGAGTGTAGTGTCACACTACAGTGTGGCTATTTGTCCTGGGAGACCTGGGAGTGTTACACACATCAGCAACCCGGTTCGGCAGGTCAACAGCAGATGCGAGCACCTGTACAAAATCCTCATCATCGGCGAGCTCGGCACCGGCAAGACGTCCATCATACGGCGCTACGTGGGCCAGACCTTCTCCAAGCACTACCGGGCCACCATAGGCGTGGACTTTGCGCTCAAGGTGCTTCAGTGGGACGCCAACAACATCGTCCGACTCCAGCTGTGGGACATCGCAGGCAAGTGGGCGCACAACCGTCCTGCAAGCGTACTGCGTAGTTAGCGCATGCCGGAAATCCATTTTCAAATGGCATTTTTTATACCTAAGCAGGAGCCAGGAAGTTTATAGTCATCTCACATGTAGACCTGGTTTTGACCTTACCAGATCTTGATGTGACCTTCACGTGAAGTTCGCCAAACAGTCCCTGATGACCAAAAGAGTCCCATCAAAGAAATGCATAGTTGGCCATGGCCATAAAGTTTAGTCACACGTACCCGCCAGCGTAGCTTCCTAGCAGTGCGACCTTTTGTGACCAGACTGGAAGCAGTCACTTCACACAGAGTGAGGAATGTAAATTGCAAAGGTACCTTTAATTAATTATTGACGGAAAGTTATAAATCGAGTTACTCGTAAATTGCCGTTCGTTTGAAGTTTATTGGCTCAGTAGTAATTCAGAGATAACAAGAGAGGGGAGGGGGGAAAACCAAGGCGGGAAAACGACCTCCCACCACGGCGAACGGAGTCCGGCGAAGGCCAACGGGACGCGGGTTTCGCGGCCCGGGGTCAACATCTTCACATGGGATGCAGAATTCACGAGTTGGCAGGCTACATGGAGCAGATCTGATTCATTTAACAACTTTCGCAGCACGGTTTTCCTTAATTCCTCACTTTATGAAACCGAAACGTGACCGAAAACCCTCACCCATGCACCAGGGCAAAGTTTCGCAGCACCTACTCCCTAGCGCTTTTGTGACTAAACTTCTGGCTGATTGGCGTCATCTGAACGGCTGAACTGACGTCTCGTGTTTCTGCGTCCGGTAGGCCAGGAGCGGTTCGGCTCTATGACGCGCATCTACTACACGGAGGCGGTGGCGGCGTTCATCGTGTTCGACGTGAACCGGGCGACCACGTTCGACGCCGTGCTCAAATGGAAGGCCGACCTGGACGACAAGGTGCAGCTGTCCAACGGCGACCCGGTGCCCTGCGTCCTGCTCGGAAACAAGGTGACACACGGCCCGAGAGCCGATCTCACTGGCGTTAGAAACGGGACGCAGATGAGTGGTCCACTTTGCATCGCCTTGCAGACCATAACTTCTCTTAACCCGCGCCCCACTGGGGTCTGCGTATAACGAGCCCTAGTGGGGGGGGGGGGGGGGGGGGGCTCCTAACTCCGAAACTACTGTGCCGATTGTCAAAATTCAAACGACGTCTGATAGCCCCGGAAAAAAAAACTGTCGAACGGAGCCTAATTTCGTTGACCTCGAGGTCACTGATGACGTCAAAGGTCAGGTCAAAGTAAAAATTATCAATGTTTCCCTGTTCACAATTTGGGCTCTGGCCGCTGGCTTACAAGTCAGAACAGGCTCATTTTTGGTTTATACACCCGTGAAAAGATGCTTTAGCCAAACTTGTTCTTTGATTTTCAGGTCGAGGCCAGGTCATCCCAGGTCTTATTATTATTATTTTTTTTTGGGGGGGGGGGTTAGGCCCTTTCGGTCCAATGGGACCATTTCAGAGCCGGGAGGATGATAGGATACAGGGAGAGACATTGGTCTGGGCAGGCACCCTAGTGACTTAGTGAGTCACCGGGGCTGAGCCCGTCCAGAGGACAGGCCACCCAGCCCCAAGGTACTCATTGCACCCGGTTACGGGGTGCGCTCCCTCGGGAGCAGCGGTGTCGCTCCAAGGGAGCAGCCCGCATGAGATAAAGTTGCCTGTCCAGCCCGGAGGGAGGTTGCGGCGTGGAGGAGAAGGATTTCAGTATCCTGAGGATAGAAGCACCGAGCACGGAACGGTATATTTTTTTCAACAAAAAAGATATTTTTTATTTTTTATTTTAAGATATTTTTTTTCAACAAAATAAGTGTCTGTCGTATGCAGTTTAACATCAGGAACACGATGGTGCTATGTAGGTATATCGAGGTACACGATGTCAAAAATGTACTGAAAAATTGATTTAAAAATTTATAATAGTGAAATTTTGACTATAATTGGTATAACTTGGCTACTTTTGAAGATATCGGAATAAAAATTTCCTGAGTAGATCACCGGTAGGTATGTGTTCTATCACAAATGTTCCATTTTTTCCAAAAGGCAAAAACTTTTTTGAAAAAGGACAAAAATATAGATTTTAAGATTTAATATATACCTATAGGTATAATTTTCAAAAATTTCAAAATGTTGAAAATCCGATATAGCAGTTTGATAGCCCTATAATCTATATGCATTCTGAGTACTCTAATGCAAAGAAATTGTATCTCGCTTAAAAACTGATCTTTTGAGAGTGATTGCCGTAGTTCAATATATTGCATCGAAATTGGCCGAACATGACGTCACTTTGACGTCATTTCCGGTCGACCCATGATAGCTACGAAGTTCCGGTTTTGACACAAGGTGTCAAATTGATACAGCCGAACGTACTGAAAGTGGTCGAGAGACGCCAGTGACGCTTCCAAGCGCGAGATGAGTCCCCTAAGGTCGTTTAAAGGGCCACTCACCAACAATTGAGTATCATCAGCGTACTGGAAGACTGCTGCATCCTCAGTATAAAGTGATAGATCATTGGAAAATACCGTGAAGAGTAAGGGACCAAGTGCCGAGCCTTGAAAGACACCCATAAGTTGGGGAGAGGTTGTGATAATACCCGGAGTGTAATCGCCACGCCGATTGTGGATTGCTCTTGATCGTCAATACATTACATACATACATGTATACATACACACATACATACATACAAAGTTTCGTGTCGATACGCCAAGCGGTTTAGAAATTATTGCAGAAAAACGGGGGGCGATGAATAGCCCCCCCCCCCATTGGGGCGCGGGTTAAAAAATCGGAATGCAGCGACTTTTAAAATGAGACCCACTTTTCGGAGGGTGTCTGTTAAGTGTTTACCGTAATGAACAATCATCATTCTTCTCCCGGCGAGTATAAATTTGTGTTATGTCTGGCAGTGTGACCTGCCGAAGGAGGGTCTGGCGTCCAGCCCCGAAAAGGTCTCCGAGTGGGCGCGCCAGCGCGGCTTCGTCGGATCCTACGAGACGTCCGCCATGGAAAACAAGGGCATCGACGAGGCCATGAACTTCATCGTCAGAAAGGTGCGCTAATCCATGGTAAACACTCCACTCGTAAACCTTCATTGACAAAGTCACTATACTATCATACGCGGTTGTCACATTACGAGCTACAGGCATATGGGCAGTGCTGCTGAGCCCCACCCTGACCGCGCTCTGTCGGCAGATTTTGACACACGAACAGTGCGGCCATCTGGTGGGCGGCGGCAGCGACCCCGACGTGGTGACGGTGAGCAGCGGCTCGTCGACAGTCAGCGGCGGCGACTGTGTGTGCTAGTAAGGAGGAAGGATGGCGACACTCAGCGGCGGCGACTGTGTGTGCTAGTAAGGAGGAAGGATGGCGACAGTCAGCGCCGGCGACTGTGTGTGCTAGTAAGGAGGAAGGATGGCGACACTCAGCGCCGGCGACTGCGTCTGCTAGCGGGGAGGAAGGATGGCGACACTCAGCGGCGGCGACTGTGTGTGCTAGTAAGGAGGAAGGATGGCGACACTCAGCTCAGCGGCGGCGACTGCGTCTGCTAGCGGGGAGGAGCGGCGCCGGCTGAGCGGCGTACCGCCTGAAACCGCCGAATACCTGTGCGAATCTGCGACCTGTTGTGCCTCATTAAGTCCTACCTGTTTGGACAACACTGTGGAGCTCTTGCTTTGCCACATGTGTGTGTGTGTGTGTGGGGGGGGGGGGGTATGTGTATGTGTGTGTGCAATATTTATGCCTGATAGGAAACCAGTATAGACCATGTCATGACCTCGTATGTTCACACAGATCAATGACGTTGGAAGCGCTCATGGTGCCGTGCCAGGATGGTCTGAACTCTGAACGTCTGTTGTCAGCGAAGCGAACCATTGGGCTTATCGAATAAAAACAATTCAAGGCGTCAAATAATGCGAATGAGCCCACTATTCAGTTACAACAAGCGAAGCAGATGAGTACTGAATAGGATGAATGCGCTTTTTTCCTAAAACTAGCATAGAAAAGTCCTTATCTAATTGGACGATCCCGCTTCGAGAAATGCCTACTGGGACACCACGGGTGAGGGGTCGCGCTGGGGCCGCGGGTTAACCCGCGCCGGGCCGGGGAGGGGGGTGTTTGAACACCCCTCCCCCTGCGGTTTTTCGCAGATGACTCAAAAACGGCGGCGCTCCGCGCCGCCATTTTTGGCACACCTGTTCATGCATCTCTTCCACACATGTTGTGAAAATTTCAGACCCAGGGCTCTCAAGGTCAAGTCACCAGGTCAGGTCAAGTGACCTCACCTAAGAAAAAGTTTCAATCCTCGTCATGCTACACCAACTGAACGATCGCCTTGAAACTTTCAGCGATTGATAAGGGTAACAGTATGTACAAAATGTATATCTCGGAATTTTGATATCGATGACCTAAGGTCAGGTTAACTTTGCGACCTCTCCATCATAGTGAACGGGAGAAAATTGAAATGCGCCTCTTTTGGACGAATGATGTTCAAAACCCTCTCAAACATCGGTTCATAGGTAAACATGACACATTGAGTCGGTAAAATGCACCTATGACCCCTCTGTGTGCCCCTGAGGTCATCTCAGGTCATGAACGGTCACCAGCAGTTTTTTGGCTGTAACTTTTGATAAAGACGTGCTAGAGCGATGAAAACACGTCAGATGTATTCAGCTCGACGATACGGATCGGCTGATATGCAAGATGACCTTTTCCGGTCAGGTCATGACCTTGACCTGAGGTCAAATTTTCAAAATGAACTTTCAAGGTCAACAAATAGTTCATTCGACGCGTCTCGACGAGACGAATACGATGCTGTCAAAAGTAATGTCGTGGCTCTCTTGAATCAACAGTTATTGACGAAAAACATTTCCGTCAAAACTGCTATTTTTAGTTTTTGCCCTCTGGAGGCTAAACCGTTGACCTGAGGTCAAATCTGAGAATAATACTCAGAAAGGTCTGTAAAAGGGCTATCGAATGCGCTTTTCCGCGGCGCTGTAGCTCTATTGGTTCCCGAGTTGGCCGTTGGCAGTTTCCAAAATTGTTGAAATGAACTACATTTGACCTTTGATGACCTCTGGCGACCTGACCTTTGACCTGAACCAAAAAATGACCGAAGTGTTTCCGTCATTATTTTTTACGCTCTTTCGAATGCCGCTTACCGCGTGTCACTACGTGGCCCAGGAGCCGAGTTAGATGGGGGGTATTCCCCCCGGCCCGGCGCCCAAAGTCGCGGAGAACCGGCCCGGCGCGGGTTAAAGTGACCATCCCACCTTAACATAAGTTTTGAGTTGATAATAAATAGCCAAAATGGGGTCCCTGGCTTGCACTTACCGGTTTGAGCACTCACAAGATTGAGAGATACCTCAAATCGAAAATATCTCATTTCAAAAATGCAGCACGTCTTGGATTCAGAGGGGCTAACGCATTAGAATGCCCCCTCTGAATGTGTGATGTCAGCGCAGATCTACCGATTTTAAATCTTTAACTAAAACCATCTAAAACGTTTGGTAGCACGCGGTGGTATATGCTGCTTTGCGCGCAACAAGTCCCGCACTTTCAAATAAAGTCGCTAGGAACAGTGGAGATCCCAAAAAGTAAACAAAAATAAAAGTCTAAACTCTAGTATCTTGAAAACCGGTGAATTTTTTCGATGAGATTTGGTAGTCGTTTTCGCTCTTTCTGAACCGAGCGACATCACTTTCATGCCAATTCATTAACCCTCGCCGGCCGAGGGGGGGGGGGCGGGTGCCGCCCCCCATAGGGTTTTTCGCGATAGCTCCGAACACGCTGGCGATAGAGAGCTGAAACTTGGCATACCTGACCTTTGATCCAAGCCGGATCTTTTGACACCAACCGCATTTTTGGGTCAGGTCAGGTCACTGACCTATGACGTCATAAGTGAACCTCTGCACGGTCTTCAGATGTCGCAACTTCGCAACGCCCTCACTGCCAGAGGAGATGTCACAGGGAAATGAAACTTGCAGGATCTAGTATCCATTATAAGTCCCACAACTTGTATATCTCGGATTTTTCCTAAAGGTCATATGAGGTCAGGTCATTTTCGTGACCTCACCATCATAAGTCAATGGGGAAAAATGAAAACTGCTATTCTGGCGCCGGGAACGATCTCCAACTATCTCAAGCACACAGAATCGTGACTTGATGCACTCCTTGCAAGGTTAGATGCGACACTTTGCAATGTTGACCTTGCGTGATGTCATTTATGACGTCATCAAGGTCATTTTAGTTTTTCGTCAATAACTCTTGATCAAATTGAGCTAGCGAGTCGAGAAAGCCACCAATGGACTCAGGAAGGCCTGCCGAATCGAATGGTATGCGACATGACCTCTTTCGACCAACTTCGTGACCTTGGGGTGCTGACCTGACCTTGACCTGAGGTCAACACCCCAAGTTGACCTGACCCGGACAAAAAGTATATCATTCGACGCGCCTGGACGAGGCGAACACGATGCTGCCAAAATCGGCGCTCTGCGGCCATTTTTTTGCGAAGTTATTCACCAAAAACTGAACCGTATCTTGGGGCACTTGACCTGACCTCAGAGGTCACCGGTTGACCTAGGACCTTAAAATCGGGTACCAATCTCTGCGTCTCGTAACGGCGCACACGCTCGTTTTTTCCGCGACGCGCTAGCTCCACCAGGGGCGAAACGGCGAGGGGGGGGGTCGTACCCCCCTCGCCCGGCGCGTATGTAGAAAACCAATAGGTCCGGCGAGGGTTAGCCCTATTAGTGGCAGGCTCCTGGCTACCCCTATTGGTGGCAGGGGGGGGGGGCTGTTTACGACCCCCCCCCTGATATCTCGAGATCTAACGGGCCGATTTTCAAAATTCAAACGGCATTCGATTTCGCTCAACGTGATCTACATCTCTAAAAAATAAAAATTAAGAAATGTCAATAGGGGGGTAGAGGGGGGTAAAAACGGGCAAATTGCAGATACATTTTAGACTGTTTATCACGGCCAGGTTTCTGAACCAAGCTTAACGCAACTTTTGCCGATCGATAGAGAATGAACCAGGAATTCACATGGATCCTAAAAATATGCATTTTCAAAAATCATAGGCGGATACAGATAATTGAGATTGGGGGTACACAAAAAGTATAGTAAATAAGGTTTTTGTTGGTACTGTTTCTAAAAAGGGTGGTAATGGTCTTGTTATGTTACAATTTTCTTATGAGAGAACGACTACAATTGTATTGGTCATGCATAGGCGGTGTCAGGGCACCTATGTTGGGAGGTAAAACAACCCCCCTTTTTGGACGCCTGGATCCGCATATTATAGCAAAAACGTGTCAAAAGAGGATGCACAATAACAGCTTTGTATATGTTATCACATGATACCTTTCATTCACTGTTCGTAAAATTGGTGCATACAGTTATAATACATCAGCATCGTGATCTTCGCCCAAATGACTCGCTTCACGAATAGGACCCCCCAATTCCCAGTGCTCTGGAGCCGCCCCTGGTAAAGTTATGAACTTGAAATTTTCAGGGAATGTGCCCAATTTAGTTTTAGGAAAAGTCAGAAAATTTCAGCATCGTAGCTTCAGCGGTTTCGGAGATATTCCCGAAAAACCTGAGGGGTGGATGAAAACACCACTAATAGGGTTCACTTTTTTGAAGGTGGGAGGGTCCCTTTAATAGGTGAAATGACACAAAAGCAGGCAACTGTGAGAATTAATTTATTACATTTACCTAACACTCTGGACGAGCAGTCACAGCCGCTCCGAATAACGTACTCGGAGGAGTCATGCAAAGCAACACCTATCTGCGCACGCTGCCGGGACCGGGACTGCGCCCCGCTGCCCGGTGCCAGGTACAATGCGAGGTACAGGTACAATAAAGTGAGACCCGCGCCCGCCGCGGGTCTCACTGGGTCTGCGGGACTTATCGCGGGTCTCACTGAGGTCTGCGGGACTTATCGCGGGTCTCACGGAGGTCTGCGGGACTTATCGCATGTCTCACTGAGGTCCGTGGGACTTATCGCGAGCTGAGGTCTGCGGGACTTATCGCGGGCCTCACTGCGGTCTGCGGGACTTATCGCGGGCCTCACTGAGGTCTGCGGGACTTATCGCGGGTCTCACGGAGGTCTGCGGGACTTATCGCATGTCTCACTGAGGTCCGTGGGACTTATCGCGAGCTGAGGTCTGCGGGACGTCTTATCGCGAGCTGAGGTCTGCGAGACTTATCGCGAGCTGAGGTCTGCAGGACTCGTCGCGGGCCTCACTGAGGTCTGCGGGACTTATCGCGGGCCTCACTGCGGTCTGCGGACTTATCGCGATGCCTGCAGCCGCTGCAGCTCGGCCTCCAGGCGCAGGTGGCGCGCTCTGAGCGCCGCCCGCCGCGGACCCGCCGGCGCACCCTCGGACTGCTTGTGGGCGTCGTAACTGGAGCACAGCGCAGTGCCGTCAAACGCTGCAAACACGGGCCATTCTTAGGACAGGACATTCTTAGCCTCACGCCTACAGGCGTTCTGATTCACTTCAACGTGCTTAAGGTAAAAAAAAAAAAAACGAAAAACGGGAAATAAACATCCGAACTGACGATTCATGACTGCTTCTATGACACGACTAGACGCGAACGCTGGCCGACGATCCACCAGTTCTCAGGAGCACTGATTCAGCACCCTCTATTCGTGTGCCATCGAAAAGGTAATGAGCACGTACCACTGGATTTTCAGCGCGTTGATCTGGTCGACCAGGCCGGTGTCGCAGTGACCAGCCTCCGGCAGCTGCCGGCTGCAACACACAGTTTATCCTCTCGTAATTCGACATCCATAATAAATACAAAACTCAGAATACAACAAACCGAAATTCGTACCCAAAATACACAGTGCTTAGGAGGGAAATGACGGTTGAGAAAATGCATCAGAAGTAGCGGTGTGTTTGCCACGACACATTGCAATTATAAGAACTGTGAACATATACTATACTAAATTTGTTCCGCAACTCTATAATATGGGCCGCTGGACGCACCGTGTAATGCCTGCCACGCGGGCAGGCACAGACGGCGGCGGCGCCACTGACCTGGCCGGAGACAGGAGCTCGGCGCCCTCGGGCGGCGTCCGCACCTCCCCGTTGACAGCCGGCCGGCGGTGGTCGTCGGGCGTGCCCAGCGCCGCGTAGAGGTCGCTCAGCAGCCGAGAGTTGGGGGTGCGCAGCGTCGCCGGCGGCCAGTCGTGCTGCGGCTGAACCACCGCCGCGCCGGCCGACACCAGCTCGTCGCCGACGTGGACGTCCGTCTCACCGCGGGTGTCGCACAGCAGCAGCGCGCTGACGTACTGAGTACGGAGCATATGACACAGTTATACACAGCAGCAGCGCGCTGATGTACTGAGACGGAGCATATGACACAATTATACACAGCAGTAGCGCGCTGATATACTGAGTACGGAGCGGACAGAGCCAGTACAGTGACATTACACACTACACAGTACACAGTACACAGCAGCAGCGCGCTGACTTACTGACGGAGCGGACAGAGCCGGTACAGTGACATTACACACTACATAGTACACAGTACAAACGCAATACCCAGTACACATAACACAGTACACAGCAGCAGCGCGCTGACGTACTGAGGAGCGGACAGAACCGACAGGTATAGAGACAGTACTCTGTGGAGTGATCGGCGGCGCCTCACCTGGGACTGCTGCAGGACGGTGGCCATCAGAGGCACGCCGCCGCGCACCAGCTTATCGAAGACGGTCTGCGCCGGCCGCGACCAGATGCCGTGGGGCGGCGCCACCCGCGCCAGAGACCCCTGCCAACGGTGTACGTACATAGAGCAGATTATAACAGACCCAGCGGCGGCGCCACCCGCGCCAGAGACCCCTGCCAACGGTGTACGTACATAGAGCAGACTATAACACACCCAGGGGCGGCGCCACCCGCGCCAGAGACCCCTGCCAACGGCGCAGAGCAGATTATAACAGACCCAGGGGCGGCGCCACCCGCGCCAGAGACCCCTGCCAACGGCGCAGAGCAGATTATAACAGACCCAGCGGCGGCGCCACCCGCGCCAGAGACCCCTGCAAACGGTGTACGTACATAGAGCAGATTATAACAGACCCAGGGGCGGCGCCACCCGCGCCAGAGACCCCTGCCAACGGCGCAGAGCAGATTATAACAGACCCAGCGGCGGCGCCACCCGCGCCAGAGACCCCTGCAAACGGCGCAGAGCAGATTATAACAGACCCAGCGGCGGCGCCACCCGCGCCAGAGACCCCTGCCAACGGTGTACGTACATAGAGCAGACTATAACACACCCAGGGGCGGCGCCACCCGCGCCAGAGACCCCTGCCAACGGCGCAGAGCAGATTATAACAGACCCAGCGGCGGCGCCACCCGCGCCAGAGACCCCTGCAAACGGCGCAGAGCAGATTATAACAGACCCAGGGGCGGCGCCACCCGCGCCAGAGACCCCTGCCAACGGTGTACATAGAGCAGATTATAACAGACCCAGGGGCGGCGCTACCCGCGCCAGAGACCCCTGCCAACGACGCAGAACAACTCATAACAGACCCCTGCCAACCGCGCAAAACAAATAACGGCAGACCCCTGCGAACGGCGCAGAGCAATAGCGTCGCGAGCAGCGACAGACGCAATAGTTTCGGACATTTTACACAGAAGTCCATTCCATTGCACAAACGCATGTTTGCAGTGCAGTTTTTTTTTTGCAGAGGTTCTCTCACCTCGTGCGCCAGCGCCGGCAGTTTCATGAACTGGTCGTCCAGGGGTCGGACGGCTTCCAGCGACAGCAGCAGCCGCGCGCCCGTGTCCACTAGATACACCTGCCAGTGGGAGACGCACAGTGCACTCAGAACCACTGAGTGAACGAACAAAAACACCAACGAAATACGCAGTGCACTCCGTCACTGCAGCTGGATATTACATAGGACGTATGCCACCCATATTTTCTCAGTTCCCTACCCACCCCAATCCTTCCACTTCACCAAACAACCACCAGCCTAGAGCTACCGGCGTTACTGTCCACCGGTCCGCCGCTCACCTTCACTTGTTCGGCAGCGCGGCCGAGCAGGACGGCGCGCCTCCAGCCGGCGTGGGTGCGGGCGGCCAGCGGCCGGCCGGCCGTCCAGTGCCGCATGGCCGGCGCCCGGTGCTGTCCGCCGTACACAGCGGCCAGGGCGGCCTCCAGGCGCACCAGCTCTGCGCCGCTGCTGCCCAGACGGAAGAAAAACTCACCCGGAGAGCGGGCCTGCGCACAAAACGACACTCAAATCAACACCGATCCAAAACAATGATTGGGCAATGATTGCAATACGCACCGATATTCGGAAATACGTAGGTTGAAGATACGTCTCGGCGCACTAAGCGCACATCCAGAGACAGCTTCCAATGAAGCACCAGAATGAAGCAGCCTATATTTTCCATGTATAATGTCTTGCTCGTGTAAAAACACTAAGAAATATATAAACAACCCGAATCTTATAATGCGATGGGAGTACCGGAGATGTAACTCACGTGCGTGACGACCACCTCGAGCAGCGGGTAGCCGGTTTACTATGGTGGGAGTACCGGGGATGTAACTCACGTGCGTGACGACCACCTCGAGCAGCGGGTAGCCGTTCGGTATGGTTTACTATGGTGGGAGTACCAGAGATGTAACTCACGTCCGTGACGACCACCTCGAGCAGCGGGTAGCCGGTCTACTATGGTGGGAGTACCGGGGATGTAACTCACGTGCGTGACGACCACCTCGAGCAGCGGGTAGCCGGTCTCGGTGGCCACCTGGCGGCCCTCCTCCAGCCAGACGAGCTGCTGAATGGCGAACCGCGCAGGCGGTACGGGCGAGCGCGCGGCGTCCCCGCCCGCCGCCGACGGGACGACCCCAGTCGCATCTGAGGCACGGACCAGACAAATGGTGATTTGATGGAACCAAGTGCAGAATGACTGAAGTCAGCTTTCCTGAATAACATTTTAATGCCGTCAAAAAAAGTAAAAAAGTTCGTTCTCCAACAGAACATGAACAGCTAAGAAGCAACTAATCATCAAAATTCCCAACTTTACTAACTGGCTAAAAGTAAAAATTGAAATCAAATGAGACCATTGCGGGTTAGTGAACGTACGCGAGACACAAACAGCTTAATTAGAACTACGCGTTAAACAATGAGGACCACGAATAAAGAGGTCCTCTGAAGCGTCCGGCGACCCTCCAAAGTGTTTGGCCGTGGTGCCCTATCAGCCGCGCCTACGCCGACTGACCTGATTTGGGCGAGTGCAGTCGGCCCGTGTCGCCGGCAGCTGCAGGCCCCTGGGCGCCGCTGGCCGCGCGGGCCCGCCGCCCGCCCGGCCTCCTCACACTGACGTGCCAGTCGTCGTCGCGCTTCTCCAGGTGGAAGGGCGCGCTGAGCGAGGCCAGCGCCTCCAGCAGGCTGGTGAAGCCCTGCTGCTGGTAGTCGAGGCCGCGGCCAAACTCGCGCTGCCGACACACGGGGCGCGCCCCTCCATTCACACCGCAGCCGCAGCTCGTGGAAACCCGAGCTCGCGTATACTACTCACAGGTCAGCGACTGTGGTTCCCGAGTCCCAAGTCCCGAGTTCGACACCATGTCACGACGCGCCAGCGCACATACCTAGGTGCCACGTAGGTGGTAGACGTGAAGCAGGTACATTCTGACATCGGGACATTCACCACACGGCAGGTACTCACGTAGTACAAGTTGGGGACGTCGGACACCTTGACGCACTCGCTCTGCGCGGAAATCACCTTCACCAGCTCCTCCGAGAAGCCGCGAACAGAATCCTCGACTGAAAATTACGACATTCACGTGTCAAGGATCGGGTGGAGCGGGCGTCATGGATTCGTGCTACCGTCTCTGTGATATTACATATTCGCCAAATCAGAGCATATTTCAAAATACTAAATGGATGAAAATGGATCCACAATATCTGTCGCCAAAATTCCATCATTAACGGACAACTTTGCTCCTAGCCAATGATAAGTGTATGAATTGGATCGAACGCGGGTTGTGAGCCGGCGAGCATACGTGCGTGGTACGCGCTGTGTACTGAGCGCACCACGTGAGCACGCGCTGTGTACTGAGGGGCTGAATTGGGCTGCGCCCGCCATTTAACCCGCGCCCTGCTGGGGGGGGGGGGTGTTTGAACACCCCCCCTTGTGGTTTTTCGCGAATATCTCAAAAACGGCGGCGCGGAGCGCCGCCGTTTTTGGTACACCTCATCATACATCAATTCTACACATGTTGTGAAAATTTCAGACCAAGGTCATTCAAGGTCAGGTCACCAGGTCACTTGAAGTGACCTCACCTCATAACAAGTTTCAATGTCTGTCATAGCTACACCGAGTGACCGATCGCTTTGAAACTTTCAGCGATTGCTAAGAGCAATAGCATGTACAAAATGTATCTCTCAGAATTTTGATATCGATGACCTAAGGTCAGGTCAATTTTGCGACCTCCCCATTATAAGTCAATGGGAGAAAATTGAAATGCGCCTCTTTTGGACGAAAGACATTATAAACACTCCCAAACACTGAATTACAAGTGGTTTAGACACACTGAACATGAAAATGGTGTCCGTGACCCCTATTTATGCCCTGATGTCATCTTAGGTCACGAATGGTATCTAACAGTTTTTCACAAATAACTTTTGATAGAGGCATGCTAGAGCGATGAAAACGCCTTAGATGTGTTCAGCTCGACGATACGGATCGACTGATATGCAACATGACCCTTTCCGGTCAGGTCATGACCTTGATCTGAGGTCAAATTTTCAAGTTGACCTTTCAAGGTCAAATTATTGTTCATTCGATGCGTCTTGACGAGAGGAACACGATGCCGGTAAAAGTAAGCTCTTACAAGGCTTGGGTCAAAAGTTATTGCAGAAAAACTGTTTCCGAAAAAAATCGGCTATTTTTGCAGCTTTTGCCCCCTGCAGGCAAAACCGTGGACGTTAGGTCAAATCTGAGAGAATTATTCAGAAAGGGCGTTAATAGGGCTATCGAATGCGCTTTTCCGCGGCGCTGTAGCTCTATTGGTTCCCGAGTTATGCGTTGGCTTCTTGGAAATTGTCGACATTCGACCTGGAAATCGGCGAAATTTTGCCTTCAATGACCTCTGGTGACCTGACCTTTGACCTGACCAAAAAATTGACCGAAGTGATTTCCTCATTATTTTTGACGCTCTTTCGAACGCCGCCTTCCGCGTATCGCTACGTGGCCCAGGAGCCGAGTTAGAAGGGGGGGGTGTTCAAACACCCCCCCCCCCAGCAGGGCGTGGAAATCCAGGACCCCCAGCCGGGCGCGGGTTAAAGCACTGACATGACAAATGTACAGACGGGAGAAAGCAGTATATATGTAGCTTAAAACGCAGTACTGCTTTTCTGCACCTGTCGTGTCGTCCAGACAGGTTCGGACGGCAGAGGTCGAAAAACTGTCCATCCCTCCAACCGGTGTTGGAGCAAATGATTGACCGAATAGCTATGCAAACGGAAAATAATCGATCACCAATGATGAAACACAGAATCTTTTACTATCATGGCCATTCCTTGCATCCATGTGCAATTTCAAGCTTCAGCTAATGACCCACTGTGAGTACTTTGTAACCGACCCACGGCCTGGCTATGCCACCCTTGACTTGCTCCCAGCCCAGTTGCTTCCATCTTACTGAAGCAAATCAGTGTCAAAAAGGCTACTTTTCCCGTAATCGCGAGCGGAATTGCGCCCTTACAGCAGTTGTAGAAAGTAGCGGTTTTTTAGAGCGTGCAGTCCGTGGAATAGATGTCGCTGCGGTCCGGCAGCGACATCCAGCGACATCTACGCGCCGGACAGTAAGAACCAAGATTCTTACAGATAGTAAGAACTTGGAACTACGGGTACGTCATGACCTCTTGCACGGCCCTGTTTCAGCGCATTGTTGAAGCTGTCTGGCGCTAACGGTATTGGTGCTCAGTATTCATGGAAACTGTAGAGGAATTCAAGTTCTTGACCCGGGTTATGCAACAAATCATTTTCTTGTGGAGCAAATTTTAGATCGGTTGGAGAAAGTCGAACTGTTTTTTCGGCCTCTGTCGGACGGGGGAACAGCACTGTACTCACAGGATAGGAAGGCAGTGGCTGGCGACGCGTCCTGGGCTTCAGGTGCGGTGGACGGGGTCGCTGAGGAGCCAGCGCCTGCGAACACAGCAGAGTAGTGGGTCACAGCCCGCCGAAACGGCAGCTCAAACAGCAGTGTTTGAAAAACAGCTGACGTCTCTAAAATAGTGCGACACAATACTAACAGATGCGGTATAAAAAAACAAGTTTTGCCACGATCCCGGAAGTTGGTGTAAGTTTGATAAATAACTATGCACAATCACAGCTACATCCAAACAATGAAGCACATCTATCCCGTGTTACGGTCCTCTTAAAGCGCCTCCATGCGTTCGGTGCAATATGGCCGCAGCAGACAGCGGACTGGGCGTGTGGTCAGTCAGCGGACTGGGTGCTGCGATCAGTCAGCTGCTGTGTCAGTGGGCTGGTCCCGTCACCCGGTCTCACCTGGCGCCGGGATGGGGAACACCTTGTCGCCCGTGGGAGTCTCCTTGAGTCGGACCAGCTCCGGTATCGACTCCATCAGGCCCTTCAGCGACAAGAAGCCCAGGGTGATGTAGGCGATAGCGTGCCCGACCATTGCCAGGTGTTTCTGATTGAATTCGTCCAAGTATATTCCCTGTGCAAATTAACAATGTCATGTCACCGTCACCGCCGTGAACTAACATGCTAAAATCATACTTTCTTCTGAATGACTTTTTGATAAAATCCATCAATGGTGTCCTGAAGCATAGCCTAAATCAAATCAAAGAATCGCTACAATGAAACGAACGAAGACATGTCTCGTCGACAACAGCTACATATCGCCCATACGACAAAGTGCACCATTTGATGGACGTCCGCGCTCCACCGCCCGGCTGCACCTGCCAGCGGCGGCCGGGGGAGGCGGCCCGACCAGTCTCCAGCTGTCGAACTCACCTGTGGGTGCTCGGCCACCAGCCGGAGGATGGACTCGCGCGCCTCGACGGGCACAGAGCCGCCGGCCGGCCGCCACGGCGACTCCGACTCGGGCGGCGGGCCGACCGGCCGCGGCCCGGCCGCGCCGCGCCGCCGACCGCCGCTCGTCTTGGGCCGCCGGCTGCGCTCCACCATTTTGAGCACGTGTTGGGTGGACGAGTCGCTGTCGCCGGCAGAGTCGTGGGTCGGCCGATGCGGGAAACGTTTCAGTCACAATATTGTGTTTGCACCCTAATAATTCAACTTTTTACAAATTTATTTTCGTTTTTTTTTTACCATAAGATTGCCTGTACATTTCTAAGCCTTCACACAAGATTTGACGCGAATCGATCATAATCATCGGTAAGAAACGCAGTGCAAATATGGAACCGTCCCGCGCCGGCACAGTCTACCATTGGCCCGATTTCACCAAGTGAATATATTCCATTACGGCGGCGTACATATTCACTTTTGGCATATTATGACATATTCAGTTTCACCAAACTCCGTACAGGGATACTTATTCAAGACAAAGACAAAGTATGACTGCATAAGTCCGTCGTTATTTGGCATACTATTACATTTGAGGTACCTCTGGTACGCCGATCTGCTTTTTCAACAGCTGTTTGCCGAGTTTGCTGGCATTGAAAGCATGCTACTTTTTGTGGCATACTTTGAGAAACAGCTTGGCATACATCAATTTTTTGTATGATAATGTTACAAATTTAATGACTTCGTCGATGCAACGTATGATAAAAACATGCCACAGGCTACGCAAAAAGTTTTTGGATGTCATAATGGTTATTTCTTGCTGGATATATAGGGTATCGTGTGTCAGGGCTTATATTGAAATAAAACCCCAGAACAGCTATTTTTATAAGGCTTATCTCATCGTGGCATCACTGCGATTAAAATCACCCCATCATGCAGAAATACAACAGGGAATTCCTTTTTTCATTCGCATTCCCGATTACATTGAGTTTTCCACTAAAAAAAGGACAGTTCACATTGTATTTTGATAACACAAAAGGCCAAAAGCGTTTCAAATATTTCTCACTGTGATTATTACACCGTGCTCTTTATACAGCGTTTTACCGAAGAGGAAGTAAATAACTGGCGAGGGCGAGAGGAAGGACTGAAGTCCAGTCCAGCAACGCCTTGATTGACATGCCCAGCATGTTGCATCACAAGTCACAATGCGTTTACATTCGTTTTCATCGCCCACTTTTGCTATTTCTTTGCAGTACCCATATGCTGTCCAATGTCCATATTTTTTTGTGTGTTGTGGCCAAATGATTCAATTTATCACCGGCTTCCCGCTTCCGTTCAGGTTCAGTCTGCCGAATGATTCCGAAATATTCTCCATATTTGAAGTCGTCGGTAGACCCTTCGATAATTTAAAAACTTGATTCAAGTAATATTTCAGATAACTTGTCGGCTAGTCGGCCGTGCTCCTTGCTATCGTCACTCGTCAGTGCCCGGTAGTTAGATATAAGATAGGTGCCTCAAGTAATGCCATTTCTTGTTCGACTTTATTTATATTTGCTTTGAACCACTCCAGAATTGCGTAGAATATGTGAACAAATATTGAAGCAATATCTAATGAGAAGTAACTTGGAAGAAAAAATTAATATCAATTCAAAATCCAATAAAACCCACACACGCCAGTAACGTCAACTGTGCTGCGCGGCTTGCTGCCGATTGTTTACATTTTTGGCTTTGGAATGTCATGCTCCCAGCAAAAATCAAGAGCATTATTAGCAATATTTGTTCAGGTACTTCCTCTTGTATGATCAGCAAATTTAATTCTTACTAGAGGTACAGGTTTACGCGATAACTATATGTTTTGATTTATGTTATGCAGGGTTACTTTTACAGGAAAAGTTGAGAGGGGGAATAAAGTTCGGGGCAAAGGCGGATCCAGGGGCATCTGAAAGGGGGGTGGGCGGCAATACCATTAGGTTTTTCGTTAGGATGGAGCCCGCAGAACCTTACCTACCCCCAAATCCTATTCTTTCCTCGGGTTTCAGCCACTTTATTTTGGAAGGTTGCCAAAAAATAATTTTGCTAAAAAATATACGCACCTACCTTGGCTGTAAGGGGCGGGGGAGGTCCCAACTTGACTGCGCCCTTGCAAATGCCAATCAGTAGTATCAACCTATCAGTGGTATCAATAACTAGTAGGTATACCCCGGCCAAACATTAAGTAACGCCTTTCTAAAGAGAGAGGTTAATCCGCGCCCTGATTGGAGGTCATTTTGGCCCCCATGTGGGTTTTCTTGAAAAGCGAAAAACGGCGGCGCGCAGCGCCGCCAAATTTTTAGTACCTTACCGGGCATCAATTTGAAACCTTCGCACAAAATTTCAAGTCTTAGGTCACCTTAGGTCAGGAGTAATTGATGTCAAACTGTTCGAGCAAAAATGAGCAAAAAACATGAAATTCTTAAACGCTCACAAAAGCTACAGTTAACGAGCAATTCCAAAGTTCTTTGTGTGGTCGTGTATGTAGAGAAACGACGGCGCTACAAAACTGCAACCTCTACAACTACAAGGTGGGCAGTGATATCCGAACAAAAACTAATGAAGCACAAAACTTGAATTATTACTATTAGTATTAGTGAGCAGTGAAAGTTCCATTGGGAAAGCCGGCTGTGATGAGGTACATTTTTTTGCGCCCTGCTCTGCATGCAAAGCAGATGAACGTGAATGCTGCATAAAGAGAAAAGTCATTTATTACTCAAAGCTTTAATGCCTATGGGACAAAAATAACGTTGTTTTTCCTTCAATGATTCCGGTTTGGAGGATGGTTAAACACGGCCATTGTCATATTGGGACAAAAATTTTTACATGTCTGGCCTTGGCGTCGATGAAAAAGTGAAAATAATCGTGAATAAATGGGTCGTTTCTGAGAAAGAACACAGAATATAAAAGGGGGTCCAAAAGGGGGTCACCTTCTTTTTGCGTCAAAGGAGGGGCCATGGCCCATTGCCCCCCTCCCCCTGTATCCACCCTTGGTTCGGAGAGGTAATCCCGTCCCCCGCCGGTTTCTACGCCGACGCCTGTACCGATATGTCAGTGATTGCGAAAAGACGGAAGAGACAAGACAAGAGACGGTCCCACCGACTATCCGATCGGTATCGGGTCAAATCTGGAGTTCCTGCTGCACTGAACGTAAAATGGTTGGATGGAACCGAAAATTGAAAATTAATAATTACTAGATGGCATATTTTGCGCTATAACTGTGCGTTTTGATAGATGCGTTTGATGGGGCATTAGTTTGGGTGTGGGAACTTATGATTTTTATTTGTCTTATTTTGTCGGAGTTGGATATTTGTTTGAACGGCATGGTACGCTGGTGCTGGTTGCGGGGTGTTAGAGCCTTTCTCATGGTTTGCCTTTATCGAACTCAAACCCACCCTACCCCAGCCCCCGTTCACGAGCTTCAGAATTCCTTTACCGTGACGTCATCACGGCGCATGAATTTTCCTTCACCCATAGAAATGCATGCAAAGCATGGTGTGTTTCAGGCGGGCTAAGGAGAAATCTAAGGCCTACATGTGTTCAAAAGACGTACCACTAAGCCAATGGATTCGTCTCATTACGATAAATGGGGTTGAATCGATGGCTATAGAATCTGAATAGCGAATTGATTGAAAATGGGCTCCAAAATAAATTTGAAAGGGGGAAATTCCCCTTTCCCTCCCTAGCCGTTCAGACACGATTTGAAAGGGGGAGCGGAATTTTCGAAGGGGGGAAATTCCCCTCTTCCCCCCCTTTAAAAGTTACCCTGATGTTATGTTACGGGTGCATTTGTTTGGGTGATTGACTTGTATTTTTAGATGTATTATTTGGATAGATTTGGGTAGCTGTTTTTAATTAAACTGTAAGGGTTGGTGATAGGTGCGGGGTGTTCAAGTGTTTTGTATGTTAGGCCCTTTTTGAACTTAACCCTACCCCTACCCTACCCTACACTACCCTACCCCTACCCTACCCTACCCCTACCCTACCCTACCCTACCCCTACACTACCCTACCCTACCCTAACCTACCCTACACTACCCTACCCTACCCTACCCTACCTCTACACTACCCTACCATACCCTTCCCTACCCTACCCCTACACCACCCTACCCTACCCTACCCTAACCTACCCTACACTACCCTACCCTACCCCTATCCCTACACTTCCCTACGCTACCCTACCCTACCCTACCCTAACCTACCCTACACTACCCTACCCTACCCTACCCTACCCTACCCTACCCTACAATCCCCTACCCTACCCTACCCTACAATCCCCTACCCTACCCTACCCTACCCTACCCTACCCTACCCCTACACTACCCTACCCTACCCCTACACTATTCTACCGTACCCCTACCCTACCCTACCCTACTCTACCCTACCCTACGCTACCCTACAATCCCCTACCCTACCCTATCCTACCCTATCCTACCCTACAATCCCCTACCCTACCTTACACTACCCTAACCTACCCTACCCTTCCCTACCCTACCCCTACCCTACCCTACCCCTACCCTACCCTACCCCTACCCTACCCCTACGGCCTACACTACCCTACCCTACCCTACCCTACCCTACCATACACTGCCACCGACAATCCAAGTTTTAGCTAAATCGGCCCAGAAATGGCTGAGATATTGCAAGAACAAATTTATTGTATTTACTGGCGAATCCCCTTGGCGAGCGGTGCCTTGTGTCGGCCTTCGTTGTCAAAGGTCAATGACCTGCCGGCTCTGATGCTTTTCACTCAGTTTTGGAAGCGAACAACTGAGCCTAAAGCACGTGCGTTCTGCTCGGCGCCGGTCGCGGCCGCACCACGTGTACACCGCTGAACCCACACCCTCGAAAATTTAATACGACAATTGAGTGCACGCGTCCGACTTACAGCGAAAATTTCACCCCCGTAGCCCTTACCGTTCCCGAGCAATAGCCTGTTGCCGATTCTAGTGTAAACCCTATGGCACACCACGTGAGCACGCGCCATGGGCGCACCCCCGGCCGCATCGTGCCCAAAATTTAATACGACCTGTTGAATGACGCGACCCACGAGTGGCAAAAATTTCACCCTCCTGCGTCAATCGACGGCGCCGTAATAAGCCATTTTGGGCGTAACCCCGACGGCGGACTTTTTAGGATTTATAATATAGATAGACTAGAGGTACAGGTTTACGCGATAACTGTATGTTTTGATTTATATTATGTTACGGGTGCATTAGTTTGGGTGATTGACTTGTATTTTAAGATGTATTATTTGGATAGATTTGGGTAGCTGTTTTTAATTAAACTGTAGGGGTTGGTGATAGGTGCGGGGTGTTCAAGTGTTTTGTATGGTAGTACCCTACCCTACCCTACCCTACCCTACCCTACCCTACCCCTACCCTACCCTACCCCTACACTACCCTACCCTACCCTACCCTACTCCTACACTACCCTACCCTACCCTTCCCTACCCTACCCTTACACTACCCTACCCTACCCTACCCTACCCTACCCTACCCTTACACTACCCTACCCTACCCTACCCTACCCTACCCCTACCCTACAATCCCCTACCCTACCCTACCCTACCCTACCCGGCTACCCTACAATCCCCTACCCTACCCTACCCTACCCTACCCTACCCCTACACTACCCTACCCCTACACTACCCTACCCTACCCTACCCTACCCCTACCCTACCCTACCCTACCTACGCTAGCCTATAATCCCCTACCTTACCCTATCTTACCCTACAATCCCCTACCCTACCCTACCCTACCCTACCCTACCCTACCCTACCCTACACTTACCCTACCCTACCCTACCCTACCCTACCCTACTCCTACACTACCCTACCCTACCCTACCCTTACACTACACTACCCTACCCTACCCTACCCTACCCTACCCCACCCCCACCCTACCCTTAGTCCCTTACCCTACCCTACCCTACCCTACCCTACCCTACCCTACTCCTACACTACCCTACCCTACCCTTCCCTACCCTACCCTACCTTTACACTACCCTACCCTACCCTACCCCCACCCTACCCTACCCTTACACTACCCTACCCTACCCTACCCTACCCTACCCTTACACTACCCTACCCTACCCTACCCTACCCTACCCTACCCTACCCCTACCCTACAATCCCCTACCCTACCCTACCCTACCCTACCCTACAATCCCCTACCCAACCCTACCCTACCCTACCCTACCCATACCCTACCCTACCCTACCCTACTTTACCCTACCCTACCCTACCCTACTTTACCCTACCCTACCCTACCCTACACCCACTGCCACCGACAATCCAAGTTTCAGCTAAATCGGCCCAGAAACGGCTGAGATATTGCAAACACAAATTTATCGTATTTACTGGCAAATCCCCTTGGCGAGGGGTGCCCGGCGCCGGTATTCGTTGTCAAAGGTCAATGACCTTCCGGCTCTGATTATTTCCAGTCAGTTTTTAAGCGAACAACTGAGCCTAAAGCACGTGCCCTCTGCTCGGCGCCGGTCGCGGCCCCATCACGTGCACACCGCTGAACCCACCCCCTCAAGAATTTAATACGACAAATGAGTGCACGCGATCGACTTACAGCGAAAATTTCACCCCCGTAGCCCTTACCGTTCCCGAGCAATCGCCTGTTTTTGCCGATTCTAATGCTAACCCTATGGCGCACATGAGCACGCGCCACGGGCGCACCCCCGACCGCATCGTGCCCAAAATTTAATACGACCTGTTCATTTACGTGACCCACGAGTGGTAAAAATTTCACCATCCTGCGTCAATCGACGGCGCCGCAATAAGCCTTTTAGGGAGTAACCCCGACGGCGGCGTGGGCGTGGGCGGCGTGGGCGGACTTTTTAAGATTTATAATAGTAGACTAGAGGTACAGGTTTACGCGATAACTGTATGTTTTGATATGTATGATTAACGGATGCATTAGTTTGGGTGTAGAAACTTGCATTTTTATTGGTATGATTTTTGTAGAAGTGGGTAACTGCTTTTAATTGAACTGTCAAGTATGATGGTGATGCATGCGAGTTCTTCGAGCCCTTTGTAAGTTAAGATGTTACTGAACGCAACCCTACCCTACCCTACCCTACCCTACCCTACCCTACCCTACCCTACACTACCCTACCCTACCCTACCCTACCATACCCTACCATACCCTACCCTACCCCTACACTACACTACCCTACCCTACCCTACCCTACCTTACCACTACCCTACCCTACCTACCCTACCCTACCCTACCCTACCCTACCCTACCCTACCCTACCCTACTCCTACCCTACCCTACCCTACCCCACCCTACCTTACCCTACCCTTACCCTACCCTACCCTACCCTACTCCTACCCTACCCTACCCTACCCTACCCTACCCTACCCTACCTTTACACTACCCTACCCTACCCTACCCTACCCTACCCTACCCTTACACTACCCTACCCTACCATACCCTACCCTTACACTACCCTACCCTACCCTACCCTACTCCTACCCTACCCTACTCCTACCCTACCCTACTCCTACCCTACCCTACTCCTACACTAACCTACCCTACCCTACCCTACCATACCCTACCCTATCCTACCCTTACACTACCCTACCCTATCCTACCCTACCCTACCCTACCCTACCCTTACACTACCCTACCCTACCCTACCCTACCCTACCCTACCCTACCTAACTCTACCCTACCTAACTCCACCCTACCCTACCCTACAATCCCCTACAATCCCCTACCCTACCCTACCCTACCCTACAATCCCCTACCCAACCCTACCCTACAATCCCCTACCCTACCCTACCCTACCCTACCCTACCCTACACTACACTACCACCGACAGTCCAAGTTTCAGCTAAATCGGCCCATAAACGGCTGAGATATTGCAAAAACAAATTAATTGTTTTTACTGGCGAATCCCCTTGGCGAGCGGTGCCTGTGTCGGCCTTCGTTGGCTCTGATGCTTTTCACTCAGTTTTCTAAGCGAACAACTGAGCCTAAAGCACGTGCCTTCTGCTCGGCACCGGTCGCGGCCCCACCACGTGCACACCGCTGAACCCACACCGTCGAAAATTTAATACGACAAATGAGTGCACGCGCTCGACTTGGCGTGAAAATTTCACCCCCGTAGCCCTCACCGTTTCCGAGCAATAGCCTGTTTAATAAGTGTTTATGCCGATTCTAATGCTAACCCTATGGCGCACATGAGCACGCGCCACGGGCGCACCCCCGGCCACATCGTGCCCAAAATTTAATACGACCTGTTGAATGACGTGACCCACGAGTCGTGAAAATTTCACCCTCCTGCATGAATCGACGGCGCCGTAATAAGCCTTTTAGGGAGTAACCCCGACGGCGGCGGCGAACTTTTTAAGATTTATAATAGTAGATTAGCGTAGCTAGAATTTTTTTCCATAATATTGTATATCTGAGCATTTAAGCTCGTCGACTTTAAATGCGGAAAAATATAGTGACTGCATGTCCCCGACAAGAAAAGATATATGCATGCGCGCCGGTGGCTCTCAAAGTACGTAAAGCGGGCACGTATTGAATATATTCCTGTGGCGAAACCGAATAGTATTATTGTCGTACTTTATCGGTGTACTTTTCCAAAGTACACCAAGAATATATTCACTTGGTGAAGTGAAATCGGGCCCAGGTGGCGAGTATCGGCCGGCGCCGGCCGCCGCGCCGCCCCGGCAGGATGTTTGATTTTGCACCGCTATTACTAGAAAAGTTGTGGACCGATTTACCTATTGCTTGCACGAGAAGATTTGCAATTCGATTCTAGACAGGCATTGGAAATTTGACGTTAATATAATGAATACGGCGTCAGTTAATGGCGAAAAATAGGTGAAGTTGGCGAAATCCGCCCCCTTCCGCTGCGCGTGTACGTTGCACTTCTTGTTGCTATATCATCCAAAGTTATCGTTGGCCCACTCTAATTTTCTCAGCACGTGTGCCTTACGTGTAGTGGAAGACAATATCTAAATTTGAGCGAAATCGAAGGGTATCCATTTTTCACAAATTATATTTTAAGAAATAAATTCAAAATAAAATATATTCAAAATTTTCAAAATATGTAAAAACTGCCAAATTTTGCTAGTATAACTCCTTATGTATATGTTCCACTTTGTTTGAAATTAATAGCTTCAAAAATGTTGAAGCTATAGATCTTTCAACATTGCACTACACGTCCAATTCTGCTAAAAAGGCATAAGTTTAGCGGCTTGTATCTCTGTAGCCCGAGGGCATATGACAAAATCCTTTCACCCTCAGAGGTTTCACCCAATAGGCAATAAGCATACAAAGTTTGAACAAAATCGCAGAGGTGAGGTGACCGATTTTGGCTGTCCCGGTTGACATGGAATGCCCCAAGGAGGAAGGATGGCGACACTCAGCGGCGGCGACTGCGTCTGCTAGCGGGGAGGAGGGGCGACTGCGTCTGCTAGCGGGGAGGAGGGACCACTGCGTCTGCTAGCGGGGAGGAGGGACCACTGCGACTGCTATCGGGGAGGAGCGGCGCCGGCTGAGCGGCGTACCGCCTGAAACCGCCGAATACCTGTGCGAATCTGCGACCTGTTGTGCCTGATGAAGTCCTACCTGTTCGACAACACTGTGGAGCTCCTGCTTTACCACGTGCGTGCGTGCGTGCGTGCGTGCGTGCGTGTGTGTGTGTGTGTAATATTTATGCCTGATAGGAAACCATTATAAACCATGTCATGACATCGTATGTTCACACAGATCAATGACGTTGGAAGTGCTCATGGTGCCGTGCCAGGATGGTCTGAACGTCTGTTGTCAGCGAAGCGAACCATTGGGCTTATCGAATAAAAGCAATTCAAAACGTCAAATAATGCGAATGAGCCCACTACTCAGTTGCAACAAGACAACCAGATGAGTACTGAATAGGATGACTGCGCTTTTTTCCTAAAACTAGCGTAGAAAATAGGCAGGAAGCCATCCGGCAGCAGGCGACATGTCGGACGCCTCATCCCGCAAACATATACCGAACAGGATATTTGGCGTGGATAACCGGTCGTGCGCCCGGATGAATAATAACCCCGATCCCGGCCGCGGCGCGTGACCGAAGGACCGAGCGATGACAGAGCGCAGTGGCGCAGCCAGGGGAGGGTCAGAGGGTCAGCTGACCCCCCCCCCGAAATTTCTGCCAGGGGCTCGCGAGAGAGAGAGAGAGAGAGAGAGAGAGAGAGAGAGAGAGAGAGAGAGAGAGAGAGAGAGAGAGAGAGAGAGAGCGAGAGCGAGAGAGAGAGCGAGAGAGAGAGCAAGAGAGAGAGAGAGAGAGAGAGCGAGAGAGAGAGAGAGAGAGCGAGAGCGAGAGAGAGAGAGAGAGAGAGAGAGAGAGAGAGAGAGAGAGAGAGAGAGAGAGAGAGAGAGAGAGAGAGAGAGAGAGAGAGAGAGAGAGAGAGAGAGAGAGAGAGAGAGAGAGAGAGAGAGAGAGAGAGAGAGAGAGAGAGAGAGAGAGAGAGAGTTCCGCCCGCCGTTTTTGGTACACCTGTTCATGCATCTCTTCCACACATGTTGTGAAAATTTCAGACCCAGGGCTCTCAAGGTCAGGTCACCAGGTCAGGTCAAGTGACCTCACCTCAGAAAAAAGTTTCAATCCTCGTCAGTCGTCATAGCTACACCGACTGAACGATCGCCTTGAAACTTTCAGCGATTGATAAGGTTAACAGTATGTACAAAATGTCTATCTCGGAATTTTGATATCGATGACCTAACTAAGGTCAGGTCAATTTTGCGACCTCTCCAATATAAGTCAACGGGAGAAAATTGAAATGCGCCTCTTTTGGACGAATGATGTTCAAAACCTCTCAAACATCGGTTCATAGGTAAACATGACACATTGAGTCGGAAAAATGCACCTATGACCCCTCTGTGTTCCTGAGGTCATCTCAGGTCATGAACGGTCACCAGCAGTTTCTTGGCTGTAACTTTTGATAAAGACGTGCTAGAGCGATGAAAACACGTCAGATGTATTCAGCTGTTGTTGTTGTTGTTGTGTGTTCCCTCCAGCCGCGTCACCGCGGTATAGCCGTGCGGCTCTGGAGGTCCCTCACGGCGGCCGCCAGGGCCGCCACCTCTCCGTCGTCGCGGACGTCTTCCGGGTTCGGGAAGATCGTTCCGTACCTCCGGAGACGCCAGCCCATGAGGGCCGGGCACCGGAAGAAGAAGTGCCGGGGCGTGTCGGCCTCCTCCCGGCACACGGTGCACAGGCCCGCCGCACAGTCGGTGTCAGGGCACTGGCGGCAATCATCGGAAGGGTTCCGTCCAATCCGGTGAAGGTATTGGCGGGATCCTGACCAGTGTCCCGCGCGGAGCTGGTGGACGTCGACGGCCGACGATCTGTCCCCCGTCGCGGCCGGCGGCGGCAGCCGGTTCTCCATCAGGGTCCGGTACCAGCCCTCCGGCCAGGCGGCGATGGTGCGGTCGCGGGCCAGTCTGGCGGCCGCGCGGTGGGCGGTAGCGACGTCCACCGGGACCGCCGCCTGGGGGAGCGCGGCCGCCTCCTTGGCGATCTGGTCGGCGCGCTCGTTTCCGTCGACGCCGCAATGGGACGGCACCCACTGTAGGTGGATCCGGCGGGACAGACCGGCCAGGGCCGCTAGTTCGGTCCAGATGGCAGCTCCTAGCAGGGTCTTCTGGGACGCCGGGCCCTCTCTCAGCGTCGCGAGGGCCGACTGCGAGTCCGAGCAGATGGTGATCGGCGCGCTCGGCTGGTGCGGGTGGTCGCACAGGTGGTTCAGGGCCGCGCGGAGTGCGACCATCTCCGCCCTGAAGCTCGAGCAGAGTTGACCGGCCGGGACGCGTAGCTCGTCGGTCGCACCGTCCGGCCACTCCACAAAGGCTCCTCCTCCTCCGCTGCGGACTCCCGCATCCGCCGACCCATCCGTCCAAACCCAGCTGGCTTGCTGGGGGAGGGACGCTAGGTGTCTCTGCGCCGCCTGGTGCAGTTCGTCAGGTGGGGCGTCCCGCCGCAGCGCTCCGATGTCCAGGGAGAATGTGGCGTGTGGGCAGGCGGCCACCTCCCACGGCGGCGCGCGGGCGGGCAGCAGGGTCTCGATCGGCAGCACGATCCCAGCAGCCCGCCAGGTGTCATGCCCCACCCCGCGCCAGCCCGTCACAGTCTTCAGCCGGCTGGGCGGCCCGCCCTCCGCAACAGCCCTGAGGGGGTCGCCCTCGGGGAGCGCGTGCGCCCTGGCGAGAAGTTTCGCCGCCAGGACGTCCCGGCGAGCAGCCACCGGCATCAGCCCGGCCTCCGCCATCACAGCGTGGGCCGGGGTGGACAGCGGGCAGCCGGTGATGGTGCGGGCCGCCGCCCGCATCTCCCTCTCGAGGAGCTCCACGTGGGACTGAGGTGTCGCCGGGAGCCAGGCGGCGGCCGCGTGCAGCAGTGCTCCTCCCACGTAGCCCGACGCCACCGCGCGGAGCTGCCGCTCCTCCAGTCCCCAGCTTCGCCCCGTCAGCTTGCGGAGCTGCTAGGTCCGGGGGCGCACCCGGGAGCGGAGGCTGCGGCAGTGGGCCCCGAAGTGAAGAAGCCGGTCGAGAGTCACTCCGAGAAGCTTAAGACGGTCGGCCGCTGGGACCAGTTTCCCGTCGACTTTTATGGCGCAGTCCGCAGCGTCGGCGGCGCTCTGGGAGAGGACGAGCAGCTGGGTCTTCTCACCCGCCACCAGCATCTTGGACTGTCTTGCCCAGTGCACCAGAGCGTCCGCCGCACGCTGGGCGCGCCGCTTGGCGGTGGTGATGTCGTTTCCTGCGCACAGCGCCGCGGTGTCGTCCGCATACATGAAGGGAGACACTCCAGGGACAGACCTCAGGGAGGCGACGAGAGGCGCCGACCACAACAAGAACAAGGTCGGCGCCAAGACGCTGCCCTGGGGAAGTCCGGCCCGGTAGATGCGCTCGCTGCTGCGCGCGCCGTTGAGCTCCATGCACGCGCGGCGGTCGCGGAGGAACTGCCAGACCCACCGGACGAAGCAGCGAGGCAGACCCTGGTCCAGGAGGCGCGCACGGAGCAGGCGGTGGTCTACCGTATCGTATGCCCCGGAGAAATCGAACGCCAGGAGAACAAACTTCTGGGCAGACTGGCCATCTGGGGTGTGTAACCGGCGGGACCTTGGTCGGTTCCAGCCGTCCAGCACCTCTTGAATCAGGCGTCCAAGGTTGTCCTCGACTGAGCGCTTCTCCCTGAAGCCGACTTGCTCCGGCGGGATGATCTTGAGCTGGTCGGTGATAAAGGTGAGCCCGGCCAGGACGAGGCGCTCCATCAGCTTAGCGATGTGGCTGGTTAGCGCTATTGGGCGGTAACTGGCTATCTTGCGCTTGTCCTTCCCTGACTTGGGAATCGGGACGATTACAGCCCGCCGCCACTCCTGGGGGACCACGCCTTCAAGCCATGACAGGTTGATCAGGCGCAGTAGAGCCCCGCGGGCGATCGGTCCCAGGTGCTTTAGGTGTTCGGCCGACAGCTCGTCTGGTCCAGGAGACTTCCTCAGCTGGCAGCGCCGGAGCTGGGAAACCAGCTCCTCCATCGAGAAGGCGCCGCAGCAGCCCGTGCGGGTGTCTTCGCAGGCTGCGCAGCGACTGTGTTGTCGCGCCGTGCGCTGGGCCGCCCGATCGGGTTTGGGGTCGCTGACCTGCCGGGAGACATGTGCGTAGGTCCGGTTAAAAGCTGAGGCCTTCTGGGCATCCGTCACAAGCAGCCGGTCCCCGTCCTCCATAGCCTCGCCTGGTCGGTGGTCGTCGGGGGCGCCTTCCCACTTCTTCAGGATCTTCGCGACTTTTCCGAGACTAGCTGGCTTGTTCAGGGTGGTGCCAACGAAGTCGCGGAAGTGAGCCTGGGTGACGCGGCGCTCGACTGATGCAGCCCGGCGTTTTGCCTCGACCCAGCGGGCCTTCGAGGGGGTCGTCGCGGCGGAGCAGGCGGCGGGCCTCGCGGCGCTCCGCGATGGCTTCCCTCAGCTCCGGGTCCAGCGCCCAGGGCTTCGGGTCAGCCCGGGCACCACGGGGGATGTGGTGGACGCTGGCTTGGTGGAGGACGTTCACGAACAGGGTGGACAGCTCCTGGGTCGACAGCGAAGGCTCCGCCTCCTCGAAGGCAGCCTCACATTCGGCCTGGAACGCCGCCCAGTCCGCTTTCTTGAAGGACCACCGCGGCTTGCGGATGCAGCGGGAGCCGTGGTTGGACGTGGCGACTTGAGCGACCATTGGCAGGTGATCGCTACCGATATCGGGGCCCAGGTGCCACGTCGCCCGCCTCGCGAGGTCATCGCTGCAGGCGATCAGATCAGGCGCAGTCTGGGAGCCGTTGCGGTAGCTGACGTGGGTCTGGGTGGGTTCGCCGGAGTTCAGCGTGGTCCAGCCTACGGAGCCAAGCCACGCCGCCACTCTCGCGCCGACCGCGTCTGCCGCGTCGCAGCCGTGGTCCCACATGGGGTGGTGAGCGTTGAAGTCCCCCACCAGCAGGGTGTGGTTGTCCGCCGGAAGAGCCGAGGGATAGAAGTTGTCCATCCGTGTGTCGAGATCGGTAGCACGAATCGGAGGTCCGTAGAGGTTGATGATGGTGAGGGGGCGGTCCCCGAGGAGACGCACTCCGCATACCTCTGTAGAGTTGTCGTTAGGGTGAAGTAGGGGGCAGGTCAGGGCGGCGAACTGGAGCCCCGCGCGCAGGTAGAGCGCGACGTCGCCGCCCTTCACCACCCCTCCGCCGGCCGCGCGACCTCTTGTCCGTCGGACGACCACCGGGGGCTGAAAGCCGGGGAGTCTGGATACAGCCTTAGATGAGAATTGAGCTTCTTGAACCGCGACGATGTCCGCGTTGACCGTCGGGAGCCAGCGTTGGAGCTCTTGTAGTTTGGTACGGAGCCCCTCCGCGTTCCAACACACTATGGTGAGGCGGCTACGGCGCGTACGGTTGCGGTGATATCTTCGGTTCTTGATCCGTCTCCGGTCCAGTCCCCCCGGGGCCCGACGAGCGCCCCCTCCGTCGGCGGGGCCGGAGGGGGGCGCGGCCGGTGTACTAATCATTCAGCGGGCCGGGGCCGCGCTGCGCGCGCGGCACCCGGACGAGCCAGCAGGAGCTCTCGAGGACGGAGAGGTGGCGACGGAAGGCCGCCGTGAGGTCCCTCTCGGAGAGGGCGCGATGGAGCCCGTTTGGCGTACCGCGACCGGTTGCAGGCCGGGCGCGGCGGGCCTTGCGGCCCACACCTCCCACCGTGGCGCACAGGCGCCTGAAGGCGGGCTCCTCCAGGAGGCATGTATTCAGCTCGACGAAACGGATCGACTGATATGCAACATGGCCTTTTCCGGTCAGGTCATGACCTTGAACTGAGGTCAAATTTTCAAAATGACCTTTCAAGGTCAACAAATAGTTCATTCGACGCGTCTCGACGAGAGGAACACGATGCTGCCAAAAAATGTCGTGGCTCTCTTGAGTCAAATATCATTGACGAAAAAACATTTTCGTGAAAACTGCTATTTTTAGTTTTTGCCCTCTAGCGGCTAAACCGTCGACCTGAGGTCAAATCTGAGAATAATACTCAGAAAGGTCTGTAAAAGGGCTATCGAATGCGCTTTTCCGCGGCGCTGTAGCTCTATTGGTTCCCGAGTTAGCCGTTGGCAGTTTCCAAAATTGTTGAAATGGACTACACTAGGGTTACCCGCGTGCTCCGCAACGCGAAGAAGGGTTATTTTTGACCCGTGGGTATTGCGTTGGTCTGTGTCGATTTGGTTGGTATCCATTTCGTTCGATTGCTTTTTGACGGCCAAGCATTTTGTAATAAAACCAAAAAAAGATACATCGCATCGAGGTGCCCGTGTCGTATTATCATGCGTTCTACTTTAGAATGATTCGAAAACTGGCGTGAAGTCTTTTGATGGCCATCGATGAATTTCGCTAAAAATGACAATGTAATGGTTTGGAACATTTACATCTTTAGCCCGCGCACCGACGGGGGTCTGCGCTAGTGGTGCCAATTTCATGAAATTTCAATTCCAATTCCGATCCAATTCCAAGAAATTGCCAAGTAAATTTCCAATTTTGTCCAAAGCGGGGGCTATTCCAATTTTTAACGATTTTTGCATTTTTTGCGTAAATTTTAAAAGTGTTTAAAAGCGTTTTAAAGGCCTCCGTTTTAAAATTTTAAATTTTAAAGGCCTTGTGTTCCGATTAATTTCCAAAAAATGTTAAGAATTCCGTCCAAATTCCAAATTGGAATTGGACAAAAATTGGAATTCCAAGAAAAGAAATTCCGATTGGCACCAATAGTCTGCGCCAACTTCGCACCGACGGGGGGGGGCGGATGACCGCCCCCCCCCCCTGAGATCTCGAGAACGAAGCAAGATAGCGACAAGCGGTAAATGGCATCGGATACGCACTGCCAAGATCTACAATTTTTACAAAGGTCATTTTCAGGTCAGGTCAAAGATGACGTCACAGGGGTCGAAAAAGTCAAAATGGCGGCGCTAGATATGGAGAGAGTTTTTCTCGAATAACTTTCGAATAAGTCAAGATAGGAACAAACTAATGGCATCATCGTGATCCTCTCGTCAATCCGCATCGAATGATATATACGTTGACCTCGAAAGGTCAAGGTCAAAGGTTGACCTCAGGTCACGTGACCATCATGTATATCATTCGATGCGTCTTGACGAGCTGAACACAATGAGACCATCCACGCGTCTGTATCTTGTTCCTGTACGGAGTTATTGGCCAAAAACCTTTGGTGACCTTTGATGACGTCACATGACCTCACAGCTGCCCAAAAGCAAAACAGACCTCAAGGTAGTGAAGGTTGATCGTATATGAAGTCATATATGGTATATGGGGCCATTCCGACCCGTTTTAGTGGTAAAAACAGGGACATGGATGAGATAATAATGGATTGGTGTCTTCGCAGTTTTTGGCGACATTGAGCTCAGGCCTGCCATCTAGCGGGAGAATTGTCGTAAGTTAGGAGCAAGCCGAGTGAACGCCGCTGATTAGCATTGTGACACACGGGAGTGTGGTGTAGTAGCAGGCTTGTTGTGCAATTTTTCAAAAGGTTATGTCTTTATATGTCAGTAAAAGTGAAGAAATTAATAGATTTATGTGCAGGGTCAGTAATAAGATAAGCAGTTCCATGATATTTCCTCATTAAATCGTGAAACAGGGAGTTATTGGAGACTTCGCCAGCACGTGTCGTTTTCGCTATTTTTCACATGAGTCTTTACTTGGCCTAAATCAAACAAATTGTCCGATCAAAGAACAAAACGAACGTAAGTAGGTACTATCTATAAGTCTAATGAAAAGTTAAACGGAATTGCTAACGTCATTACCGCTCAATATGTAATTCAAGACGCTCTATGAAAAGGATCCAACCAGCGCTGCGTAGTCGATGAAATTTCAGTGACTTTGGCTCCAACTCCGATTCCGGTATTCAAATATCGACTCCGACTCCTCCGGGCAGAACTGTCGAGTGTCGATTCACAAAGACTCCGACTCTGACTCCGACTCTGCAGCCCTGGTAAGTCTGTGGAGTCGATGACTTTTCGGTGACGTTCGAGTCACACTCCGACTGGCGACTACAGCTTTTAAAAATCAACCGACTCCAAGTCGGAACAGAACCGCTGGCTCTGACTACAACTCCGCAGCCGTGGCCCAAGATAGCCGCCTAAAACAATTTTAATGTGTGATCTTCTTCGTACATACATTGTTTTGTCATTTTAAACAAGGAATGGAAAAGGGAGACGAAGCCTTCACAAACAGGGATCTCCTGTTGCGGATCAATCAGTTGCTGGAACAGAAAGGCATAAACACCACGCATCTCATTTCATCTTTTTCCTAATGACTGCACCAATGTAAGCACTGATCAATGCAGTGCGAGCATCGGTGTGACATTTGTGTACCAAGTTTGAGTGTTATCCGCCCAGCCGTTCTTGAGATGGAAGCGGCACCCCGCACGTGCGCACGTGCAGTAGCACCCCCATAGTGACACATGGAAATGCATTGGCCACTGGATGACTAACTATTGACGAAGTTTTACTGTCATGGGCCCAGCCATTGCGGAGTTACTTTATGTGGAACAATTTCGACACCCCTAAGTTGGCACGTGGCACGTGCTGTAGCATTAACTAAGATGAAGAAAATCGTTCGAAATTCGGAGAAGAAGGAATAAGCCTACCAAATATGTATGACATATTGTCAAACTGCTGTACCATTGTGAGTAAATGACCATATAAAAGGTCGTACAAGCCGATGGGACTGGGCGTTTCAATACACACCGTCTTACGCATTTTATTTTCGCAAGGGCGGATCTAGGGGGTCGTTTTGGGGGGGGTCACCAGTCGGCCGACATACCAGGTCTGGTGAATGAATTCTGACGACCGGGGGGGGGGGGGTAGGGAGCGAGTATGTCGAGATCAAAAAATGACATTTGATCTTCGTCGTTTATAAGATGAAGTTTTATCGTAAGTCACTCGGCTCAGTAGTTTTAGTTAGTGAAACCCACCTATATAGGAGCGTCGCCACGGATTTTTTACTGGGGGGGGGGGGGGAGGCGGGTCGACCGACTTAAAAACCCAGAAGTAGATATAGTTACCTCACTTTTAGCCTAATGCATTAGTAAATAGTAGCATACAGTCACGATCTCTCTTATTGACCTGTGTATGAATCGGCGGCGCGAAGCGCCGCAAAAATTTGCAAAAAAAAAGTTGTCAAAACACAGCTCTAAAACACAAATATTACAACCTTTTTAGCATGCTAGTACAAGCCGGAGTTCCTTCACAGTACACATATGAATTCCGATTCAATTTGACACGGTTGGTGTTATTACAGTCACTGTTATTTCTCTCTTATTGATTGGTGTATAAATCGGCGGCGCGAAGCGCCGAGAAAATTTGCAAAAGAATGTGTCGAAACACAGCTCCAAAACACAAATTTTACCACCCTTTTAGCATTGCAGTACAAGCCGGAGTTCCTTTACAGCACACATATGAATTCTGATTCAATTTGACACGGTTGGTTTATGTAATTACAGTCAAGATTTCGTATTGACCTGTACGTATGTACATAAATCGGCGGCGCGAAGCGCCGCGAAAAATTTGCAAAAACATTTGTCAAAACACAGAGGGGGCCTCCTCTCTACAGAGGACCACCGATCTCTACTGCGGGCCTCCTCTTTTCACAGGGCCTCTTAACTACAGAAGCTACAGGGCCTCCTCTCTACAGAGGGCTTCCTCTCTACTGAGGGTCTCTCCCTTTAAGAGGGCCTCCTTTACAGAGGGCCTCCTCTCTTCAAAGAGCCAGAGGACCTCATCTCTGCAAAGGGCCTCCTCTCTTCAGAGGGCCTCTTCTCTACAGAGGGCCTCCTTTCTTCAGAGGGCCTCTTCTCTACAGCGGGTCTCCACTCTTCAGAGGGCCTTCTGCATTCAGGCGGTCTCCTTTCCACAGAGGGCCTCCTCTCTACACAGGGCCTCCTCTCTACATAGAGCCTTCTCTCTACAGCAGGTCTCCTCTCTACAGAGGGCCTCCTCTTTAAAGGGGTCTCCTCTCTACAGGGGGCCTCCTCTCTACTGAGGGCCTCCTTTCTACAGAGGACCTCCTCTACAGAGGGCCTCCTACCTACTGAGGAGTCAGAGGGGCCCTAGCGGTCAGACACAGACACTAGCGGTTATTCACTGGAGGCCCCAGGAAGTAAGAAGGGCCCTAGCTGTCAGGCTGGTCAGAGGGCCCTGAATGTCCTGACGTGATTTTTGGGATTCCCGTGAATTTCTTTCGCCTCAGACGTGATTTTGACCTGCCAGGGCCCAGGGGCACTAAAAATAAAACAAACAAAATAAAAAATGAAAATAGGACATCACCAAAATTAAGTGACCGAAATCCGTTGAGTTTTTAATTTTGCGTACAGGTAGGGGCACCACGAATTAAATTCATGACCATCCCCTTGGAGTTTTCCTGGATCATCCCCTGGTGCTCGCACGGTTGAGACAAAAACGAGTAAGATTCTGGTCTTCACTCTTCAATACGCCTTTTCACGCAACACGATCCAGAAAAACAAAGGTATTAGCTCAGAAGTGTTTGACAGGTGATTTTGAGCATGCAAGACGGCGTCTATAGCGCATTTAGGTCTTCGGCTTTTGGGGGGGGTCAAATGACCCTCTCAGACCTTTTGGGGGGGGTCATGACCCCGTGGACCCCCCCCAGGATCCGCCAGTGTATTTTCGTTATTACCTAAAGGCTGCTTGACGTTTTTGGCTTTCAAGCATTTAATACATTTTTTTTTGTCGTCTCAGGTCCAGTAAGATTACCCCCAACTCGTGGGAATATGCAATTCAAGCCAACTAACACATCACACCCACGTGTGTCATAATGCTGAGAGATGGCGTTCACTCGGCTTGCTCCTAACTTACGATAATTCTCTCGCTAGATGGCAGGCCTGATCCCAATGTCGCGGATCCCAATGTTAATTTCCACGAGACACCAATCCAGTGTTATATCATCCATGACAGGGAGTTGATTTTTCCCCCATTGACTTATAATGGGGAGGTCGCGAAATTGACCTGACCTTAGGTCACCGATATCAAAATTCCGAGATATACAAATTGTAGCTACTAATGACCTAATAATATCCTGCGACTTTCAAAGGCCTCCGACATCTACTGTAGCTCTGGCACGGTGACAAAGTTGCAAAAAAGTGACTTGAGGTTGGGTCATTCAAAGTGACCTGGTGACCTGACCTTAAAAGGTAGGAGGTTCAAACTCGCACACCATGTGTAAAATTGATGAGGTTATAGTCATACCAAATTTCGCGGCGCGTAGCGCCGCGGTTTTCCCGCTATTCGCGAAAAACCTCAGGGGGGGGGGGCGGATATCCGCCCCCCCGTCGGTGCGAGGGTTAACCCGCGCGGGGCTGGGGGGGTAAATTTTACCCCCCCTCGCGAATTTTTGCGATATCTCAAAAACGGCGGCGCGCAGCGCCGCCAAACTTTCAGTACCTTTTCTTACATCAATTTGACACCTTCCCTGAAAATTTGAGCGAAATCCGTCGGAAAACTTTTGAGAAATTGACGTTTTAGTGACGTCATGTTCGCCATTTTCGCCTCAAAAACGGCAAAAGTTCAAACGCCGCTAACATCTTCATTTTTAAAGGAATCAAGACGTAACAAAAAAGGTTATACGTGATTTTACTTTGTCTATCAAATGGCTATCTCGGTTTTTTGAAAATTTTGGATTTTGGCCTAATTTTTTTCAAAAAACTGATTTTTTTGGGAAAATCATTATAAAATCCAAAACTTTGAGTCTATCGAAAAAACCGGAATATATGTCAGAGAAGTGGTCTATGTGCACCTACATACCAAATTTTAGAAGAATCAGTTCAAAAATGTGGGAGTTATTCAAAATTTTATGACGTCACGACACACAAATTTTTTGAAAAATGACTTTTTTGGAAGTTCTAGACCTCGTACGGAAACAACAATAGCACCATTCGATTCGCCGTGAAAAACTGCATCAGATAGACACCTTTTTAGGCCTTAACAACCAACTTCAAAATTTGACCTCACTTGACCTGACCTTGACCTGACCTCGACCTGAAATTCATCCAGAGGTGGTCCATATCACTTATTGAGTGTGCCTATTGAATTATATGAGTAAAATGACCCATAAAACATGTGTCGCACATGCCCTTTTCTATATTTTGTTTTTTGGTGACCTGACCTGACCTGACCTGACCTTGACCTTGACCTCTGAATGATATTGTATGCAACTAATATTGTCTTGGTAGCCTAAGAACACGTTTTGGGCGATCAGTCTCAGTCCATGACTCCATTCTTCGGCAACTACGGTGCAAGGCCGATACTGTAGAAACTTGCAATTTGTACCCTTGACCTGACCTTGACCTTGACCTCAAACTTTAAATTAAGTACATGTTTTTAGTAGTTCGTGATGAGAGCTTTCGATTGGCGTTTGAATTTTCCAAATCGGACCATTAGTTCGGGAGATAACAGGGGGGGTAAAATTTACCCCCCCCCCCCAGCCCCGCGCGTTCGGCTGGAGACCCCAGCCCCGCGCGGGTTAAGAATACTGCTGCTCATCATGCAAAAATGAAGAGTGAATATTGGACAGAATTAAATGCTCTATCCAATGGTACCATATTCAAATGCCAAAGGTATCAGGTTATGCAGCAAAACGCGAGTAATTAATAAAGTGGCACATCATTGACAAACACAATTTTCTCCCGAGATTTGTACCACCTTGAATTGGATCAATCAGCTTTTCACAATTTTTATATGTGAGGCGGTACATTTTTATTGCTACTAGGCGTTCTTTCGGCTCGCTCCGTCTGACGGTCACCTGAAAATAATATAAATTCCAAAATCCGTCCAAAACGTCAATTTTCCACATAAAAGTGCCCTCCCCGGTGCACGTGGCGCGTGCCATCCCCTGCACCGCACACCATTCGATAGCCCGTTCAATTATCTACACGATGCTGTTTTCCCCGTGCCGATCGGACCCCTGGTCGCCAAGATATGGCACCGGGACCGGAGCCGTGTCGGCCAAATTTAGCCGTTTTCGCCCGATTTCGCACGCCGATTTATACATGTAAAGTCTATGACGTGAATTAGCACTTTTTGAGCACGCGCCACGCGCCCCCTATCAATCCGATCGAGCCCAGACCCCCCAAAGGCACGTCGCGCATCCTTGATCTATAAGTTGTGCAAATTTCACCGCGCTAGGTGCAACGGTCTGGCCTGTAGTCCACGCAAAGCACGGCCAAGTCGGGACCTCGGTAACGGACAGACGCACCCTCCTCAAATAGTAATATAGATTTGACCTTTGATGACCTCTGGTGACCTGACCTTTGACCTGAACCAAAAAAATGACCAAAGTGTTTCCGTCATTATTTTTTACGCTCTTTCGAATGCCGCTTACCGCGTCTCGCTACGCGGCCCAGGACCCGAGTTAGATGGGGGGGGGGGTGTTCCCCCCGGCCCGGCGCGGAAGTCGCGGAGCACCGGCCCGGCGCGGGATAAAGTGACCATCCCACCTTAACATTAAGTTTTGAGTTGAGAATAGACAGCCAAAATGGGGTCCCTGGCTTGCACTTACCGGTTTGAGCACACACAAGATCGAGAAATACCTCAAATCGAAAATATCTAATTTCAAAAATGCAGCACGTCTTGGATTCAGAGGGGCTAATGCATTAGAATGCCCCCTCTGAATGTGTGACGTCAGCGCAGATCTACCGATTTTAAATCTTTTACTAAAACCATCTAAAACGTTTGGTAGCACGCGGTGGTATATGCTGCTTTGCGCGCAATAAGTCCCGCACTTTCAAATAAAGTCGCTAGAAACAGTGGAGATCCCAAAAAGTAAACAAAAATAAAAGTCTATAATATCTTGAAAACCGGTGAATATCTTTCGATGAGATTTGGTAGATATTCGTTTTCGCTCTTTCTGAACCGAGCGACATCACTTTCATGCCAATTCATTAACTTTTTTGAAGGTGGGAGGGTCCCTTTAATAGGTGAAATGACACAAAAGCAGGCAACTGTGAGAATTAATTTATTACATTTACCTAACACTCTGGAAGAGCAGTCACAGCCGCTCCGAATAACGTACTCGGAGGAGTCATGTAAAGCAACACTTATCTGCGCACGCTGCCGGGACCGGGACTGCGTCCCGCTGCCCGGCGCCAGGTACAATCGAGGGCCGCTCGGCGGCAGCCGAACGCGCCCGCCGCGCGCCTCACTGAGGTCTGCGGGACTTATCGCGGGTCTCACTGAGGTCTGCGGGACATATCGCGGGTCTCACTGAGGTCTGCGGGACTTATCGCGGGCCTCACTGAGGTCCGTGGGACTTTCGCGCGCCTCTGAGGTCTGCGGGACTTATCGCGGGCCTCACTGAGGTCTGCGGACTTATCGCGAGCTGAGGTCTGCGGTCTTATCGCGATGCCTGCAGCCGCTGCAGCTCGGCCTCCAGACGCAGGTGGCGCGCTCTGAGCGCCGCCCGCCGAGGGCCCGCCGGCGCACCCTCGAACTGCTTGTGGGCGTCGTAACTGTGGAGCACAGCGCAGTGCCGTCAAACGCTGCAAAAGCGGGCCATTCTTAGCACAAGACATTCTTAGCCTCATGCCTACAGGCGTTCTGATGCACTTCAACGTGCTTGTGGAAAAAACAACGAAAAACGGGAAATGAACATCCGAACTGACGATTCATGACTGCTTCTATGACACGGCTAGACGCGAACGCTGGCCGACGATCCACCAGTTCTCAGGAGCACTGATTCAGCACCCTCTATTCGTGTGCCATCGAAAAGGTAATGAGCACGTACCACTGGATTTTCAGCGCGTTGATCCGGTCCACCAGGCCGGTGTCGCAGTGATCCGCCTCCGGCAGCTGCCGGCTGCAACACACAGTTTATCCTTTCGTAATTCGACATCCATAATAAATACAAAACTCATAATACAACAAACCGAAATTCGTGCCCAAAATACACAGTGCTTAGGAGGGAAATGACGGTTGAGAGAATGCATCAGATAAGTGGCGGTGTGTTTGCCACGACACATTGCAATAAGAACTGTGAACATATACTTTACTAAATTTGCTCCGCAACTCTATAATATGGGCCGCTGGGCGCACCGTGTAATGCCTGCCACGCGGACAGGCACAGACGGCGGCGGCGGCACTGACCTGATCGGAGACAGGAGCTCGGCGCCCTCGGGCGGCGTCCGCACCTCCCCGTTGACGGCCGGCCGGCGGTGGTCGTCGGGCGCGCCCAGCGCCGCGTAGAGGTCGCTCAGCAGTCGAGAGTCGGGGGTGCGCAGCGTCGCCGGCGGCCAGTCGTGCTGCGGCTGAACCACCGCCGCGCCGGCCGACACCAGCTCGTCGCCGACGTGGACGTCCGTCTCACCGCGGGTGTCGCACAGCAGCAGCGCGCTGACGTACTGAGTACGGAGCGGACAGAGCCGGTACGGTGACATTGTTATACCCACTACACACCGCACACTACACAGCAGCAGCGCGCTGACGTACTGAGCACGGAGCATATGACACAGTTATACGCAGCAGCAGCGCGCTGACGTACTGACGGAGCGAACAGAGCCGGTACAGTGACAGTATACACCACACAGTACACAGCAGCAGCGCGCTGACATACTGTGCAGCGGACAGAGCCGGTACGGTGACAGTATACACTACATAGTACACAGCAGCAGCGCGCTGACATACTGAGTACGGAGCGGACAGAGCCGGTACGGTGCCAGTATACACTACATAGTACACAGTACAAACGCAATTTACCCAGTACACAGTACACAGTACACGGCAGCAGCGCGCTGACGTACGGTCGGAGCGGACAGAACCGATAGGTATAGAGATAGTACTCTGTGGAGTGATTGGCGGCGCCTCACCTGGGACTGCTGCAGGACGGTGGCCATCAGAGGCACGCCGCCGCGCACCAGCTTATCGAAGACGGCCTGCGCCGGCCGCGACCAGATGCCGTGGGGCGGCGCCACCCGCGCCAGAGACCCCTGCCAACGACGCAGAGCAGATTATAACAGACCCAGGGGCGGCGCCACCCGCGCCAGAGACCCCTGCCAACGGCGCAGAGCAGATTATAACAGACCCAGGGGCGGCGCCACCCGCGCCAGAGACCCCTGCCAACAGCGCAGAGCAGATTATAACAGACCCAGGGGCGGCGCCACCCGCGCCAGAGACCCCTGCCAACGGTGTACGTACATAGAGCAGATTATAACAGACCCAGGGGCGGCGTCACCCGCGCCAGAGACCCCTGCCAACGGCGCAGAGCAGATTATAACAGACCCAGGGGCGGCGCCACCCGCGCCAGAGACCCCTGCCAACAGCGCAGAGCAGATTATAACAGACCCAGGGGCGGCGCTACCCGCGCCAGAGACCCCTGCCAACGGCGCAGAGCAGATTATAACAGACCCAGGGGCGGCGCCACCCGCGCCAGAGACCCCTGCCAACGGCGCAGAGCAGATTATAACAGACCCAGGGGCGGCGCCACCCGCGCCAGAGACCCCTGCCAACGGCGCAGAGCAGATTATAACAGACCCAGGGGCGGCGCCACCCGCGCCAGAGACCCCTGCCAACGACACGCAAAGCAAATCATAACAGACCTCTGCCAACCGCGCACAACAAATAACGGCAGACCCCTGCGAACGGCGCAGAGCAATAGTGTCGCGACTGCGAGCAGCGACAGACGCAGCCGATTCGGACATTTTACACAGACGTCCATTCCATTGCACAAACGCTTGTTTGCCCTGCAGTTTTGTTTTTGCAGAGGTTTTCTCACCTCGTGCGCCAGCGCCGGCAGTTTCATGAACTGGTCGTCCAGGGGTCGGACGGCTTCCAGCGACAGCAGCAGCCGCGCGCCCGTGTCCACTAGATACACCTGCCAGTGGGAGACGCACAGTGCACTCAGAACCACTGAGTGAACGAACAAAAAACACGAACGAAATATGCACTCCGTCACTGCAGTTGGCTATAATTACATATGCCACCCATATTTTCTCAGTCCCCTACCCACCCCAATCCTCCTACTTCACCAACAACCACCAACCTAGAGCTACCGGCAACTGTCCACTGGTCCGCCGCTCACCTTCACTTGTTCGGCGGCGCGGCCGAGCAGGACGGCGCGCCTCCAGCCGGCGTGGGTGCTGGCGGCCAGCGGCCGGCCGGCCGTCCAGTGCCGCATGGCCGGCGCCCGGTGCTGTCCGCCGTACGCAGCGGCCAGGGCGGCCTCCAGGCGCACCAGCTCTGCGCCGCTGCTGCCCAGACGGAAGAAAAACTCACCCGGAGAGCGGGCCTGCGCAGAAAACGACACTCAAATCAACACCGATCCTAAACAATGATTGGTCAATGATTGCAATACGCACCGATATCCGGAAATGCGTAGCTTGAGGATACGACTCGGCGCACTAAGCAGTAAGCACACATCCAGAGCCAGCTTCCAATGAAGCACCAGAATGGAGCAACCTATATTTTCCATGTATAATGTCTTGCTCGTGTAAAAGCACTGAAAATATATTAACAACCCGAATCTTATAATGCGATGGGGGTACCGGGCGTGTAACTCACGTCCGTGACAACCACCTCGATAAGCGGGTAGCCGGTCTACTATGGTGGAAGTACCGGGTGTGTAACTCACGTGCGTGACGACCACCTCGAGCAGCGGGTAGCCATTGGGTATGGACGAAGTGTCATTTCTAATCTTCCTCAGGTAAATGATAGTAATTCGTATTCGTTTCGGGCTACACTGAGGTAAAAAATTGTTAAAAACCAAATATTTTGGCTTTATTGAGTAGCCTTGTTCACTGGTTTGAAATATGAAATACAAAAAGACGATACAAATGTGATGACATGCGAAACAGGTTCGTGCTATCAATGATCTGTGACTTCCTTTTTTTTACACTGTGCATACGCTGAAACAACCATACAGTTCAAATCATCACACATCGTTATGACAGTCGTAATAAGATATTATGCATCGTCTGATTCGTATCATCGTCGAAAGTCGGAATCGTATAAGCGCCAGACGGTCTCTTATAAAAATGCATTAAAACCTGTACTTTGGCTATCATGCAAAGACAAGAAAGAGTATCTAGATACTTTTGAGATGCAAAAAAAAAACAACAACTATGGTTCCCCATTTTCTCTATAAAACTAACACATGTCAACACAAAGCAACGTCCCAAATCGGGCTAATGGTAGCTTTGCCCACCCCCCTATTCATTGCTGACTTGTGTATCTTTATCTCTAGAGCTTCCCGAATCGTTCTTCTTTTCCAGTTCCGTTCAATGGCCAAGGTTGTAGCTTTTCGCGGGTCCAAATCTCTAGCACATGAGAAGGCGTGTTGTGCTGTAGCCGATGTGTCCGTGCGACCATGTCTTATATCAGCCACATGTTCTTTCAGCTTCGTAAGGCCGCGTTCCCACTACGACCGTTGAACATCGTAAATTGCAAGAACGGGAGCAAACGGACGAGATCGTTGATCTAGAGACTTTTCTAAAAAAGTTGAACACTTCCCTAGATCTGGTATACGGGGCTTGATGGGGAAACATCGTGAGACATCGGCAAACGGCTTGGACAAAGCCAGTTGAGAGGAGCGATGATGAAGGAGGGATCGGCACAATAAGCTATTGTAAAAATAATGTTCAGAATTTAGGTAGTTGATGTGGTAAAAGATTCCATGCAACTGAATGAATGATAAAATTAGAAAACCTTTTAAATTTATTAGCGTGTTAAAAGTACGCAAGCATTAGAAAATATATCAACAAAGCCAGCGAAAAGCATTCACAGCTATGATAACGACAATCTATTGACTTTTGAAGCGAAAATGTGTGCAGTTGATATAACTCATTGTGGTTTTGCTGTGAATACCTTCGGGAAGCGGTAACCGATAAATTGCAAGTTCCGATGATTTCCTATCAGTTTATTATGGCAATCCTCGATAAAACATTTCGCAAGTTGAAGCAGGCTGCAATACAACTGAATTTGTCGACACAGGTTCAGCGATTTAGGTATACGAGTAGGGGAAGGAGGGTGAATTGCGCCACCTTAAGGAAAAACGCTAATTGTAAGAAAACCGCTGGAGATATAAGCATGCATTGGTGACAATTTCAAAGAGGAACTCATTGGCTACGATTTAAGAGCCTCCCGATCAATTAATAATGTTTCGTTTGCTTCTGACAGCTGTTTTTTCAGAAACATGTAAAAGGGCGCATTTGCCAACAACTGCTGTAAATTGCGCCAGGGGGATGGCGCAATTAGAACCCAATTGCGCCCTATACTTTAACATGGCTAAGCGAATGAGACGGAATGCATTCACCCTGGCAGTCTAATGTCATTGCGGCTTACTGTAACATTAATAATGTTATTCACGCTGGTTAAATAATAAATGTAGGTGTAAATCGCAATGTTTTTTGCCCAGGTAGATAACTTTACATGTGTTCGTACGCTTGTAAAAGTGCAACGAAAACGTTTACTGTAACCGACTAGATATATGTGAACGTATGCGCCTATACGGTTACATTTTCAATCGTTTCTCTCAAAATTAATAATTTTTATTATTTCGACAGCTTTATGACATCAGTTTTTACTTTTTTATCATAGCTGTCACCTCTCACGCCTGAGTCCATGTTGAAAATATCGTATTTTGTCAATTACACCACAAGTTCGTAGCCTAATGGCAGCTGCATTATAAGTTTGACGAGAGAAATAATTTGCGGACTGACGACAGCGGGTTGCTCCCCTGCCTGACATTAAACCCTTCTTTATTGCAATCAATTAATGATGCATTCATGCTGTCGTGATATACAATAGCTACACCATTATTCTATTTGCGCCCCCTGGCGCAATTGCCATGGGCGCAATTAAAATTGAGGTACTTTTTAATAAAAGCGAGGAAGTTATCATACAGATGTTGAAGGAAGTTAACTGTTTTAGTGAAACATAATGAAAAAAGGGTTTTTCTTTTTAAATATCACTCTGAAAATCACACAAATATCACACATTTTTATAGCCAATGGTCAAAATACTGCAAAAAAGCTAAGAAAACGCCGTAACATCTTTGATGGCGTAATGAGCCTTGCTGATTGGCTTCATGGGGGAGCTTGGGCCATAAAAGGAACTATCCAGTGGGGGAAATAATGTTTTCGAACACAAAATTCAAAACATGCTATTGAATCCGTGGGAATGTTGGTGGACGCAATTGGTTAGGAGGGCGCAATACACCCACTTTCCCCTACCTACAAGTACCTATACGGAGCAGGCATTCAGCTTACAGCAGTGCCACAGCTCATGTCACCATCGTCATGTGACTACGCCATCTCGTCAGGCCATGCTAGAACTGTATAAAGGCAATTATAATATCAACTGAACAGACGAGAAGCACTTATGAGTTTAGCAAGGAAACTGACGCCGTGTGCTCAATGAAGGTAAGCGAGTGTATTCGAGCACAGTTCACAGCAGATGGTGGCAACTGTCAACGTTTGTCTGACAGCTCTGCAGTGTGGCGTGGCATCACAATGCAGCGGTCTTCCAGAGGAGAGCTTGGCCTAAGCGTTTGAGGTCCCAGGCCTATCTATCTGAATCTACGATGCAACTCTTGGTAGCTGGCGCGCAACCGGATCTGTCTCCGAGATTCTGAGTTGCGGAGCGGTGCTACGAAAAGAGGGAGATCAGAAGTGCAAGTCGCACCTGTTGTGACTTAGCGAGGATCATTCGCTCAAGAGTCGCATGCGATGTGCATAACAAGGCCAGACAGCCCAATGACAATCACATGCTTCGCATGTGGTAGTCCCAATCACATGGCGCGATCCAGATGGCCTTGATCCAGAAGACACTGTGATTTGTTTGAGCCTTGAATGAGGCCCTCAGTGACGATCCGACGGCGGAAGCTGCGTGTCTTGAACGAGGAGTGGTCGGTCGCTTGAGGTCATAAGTGAGCGACGACGCCGGTGGCCACGATGGTCAGAAACTCTGCCTTTAGTTTCACAAGAGCAAGTGCTGCTGCGGCATGTATCGCTGTCAGATGATGTAAATAAACGTTTGTTATTTGCGCCGCATTTGCAGTGGCATGAAATCATTTGTAGGATTCTTATTTCCAGGCGCTGATGGTAGGTAAAAGAATACATTGAACTAGACCTACGGTAAATCTGCCGAAAAGTTAAGTTATTCATCGCCACTTAGCGCTCGCCTTATACATCTATGTATATAATTATAGTTATGTAGCTTTTATCCGCAAAAATACACCACCTTTCATGCCTTGCTGCTTGTCTTCTCACTTTGAATATCAAGAAACTTCCCAAAAATGGCTTCCTGCTCTATGCACTGCCTAAAAATGCTTATTAGTGTCATTTAATATCTGCACAAACCTTCAAGAACGTTCAAAAAGTTGAACACTGTTCAACTTTTTGGCGACCTCACCAACCAACCAACATGGGGAGCAAACTTTCAAAATCTTACAAATGCCTCCACCCGAAAACACGTGTCAAATACCCGGTTCCCACCACCACCGGCAGAGATCGTAAAAATGCATGCTGTGATTTTGCCGATCTTGCCGGTTTTCTCCCGTTATTTTACTTTACGATGTTGAACGGCCGTAGTGGGAACGCGGCTTAAGCTTGGGACGTCCACTTTCTCCGACATAAGACTCCCCGCAATCACATTTAATCTGATAGATGACACCCTTTTGCATTTCTGGATCCGTCTTGTCTTTTACTTGAACTAGATGTATGCGTCAGCAGGGACAGTGCACAGGGTCTTCGAACCGCTGTTTACAGGAAACCAACGGCAAGTGACACTTACATAAGAAACAACTCAAATCACGCGTCAGCAGTGAAGGTTGGAGTCATCAGAAACCTCGCCAGGAGAGCAGAGAAAATATCTAGCACCAAAGAAGCGGAAGCGAAAGAAAAGGAGCATTTAGGGAAAGTGTTCAAGCAGCACGGATACCCAAATCATGTGATTAAAAAGGAATTAGCGCAGAAGAAAGCAAATAGGACAGATACACATGAAGAAACAAGCCGAACAACGTACATTTCTTTACCTTACGTGCAAGGACTGAGCGAGCCCATAGCAAGACTTTTACGTCAACACAACATCAAAACAGGGCACAAATCTAGAACGCTTCGAGATCATCTAGTTCAAGTAAAAGACAAGACGGATCCAGAAATGCAAAAGGGTGTCATCTATCAGATTAAATGTGATTGCGGGGAGTCTTATGTCGGAGTAAGTGGACGTCCCAAGCTTACGAGGCTGAAAGAACATGTGGCTGATATAAGACATGGTCGCACGGACACATCGGCTACAGCACAACACGCCTTCTCATGTGCTAGAGATTTGGACCCGCGAAAAGCTACAACCTTGGCCATTGAACGGAACTGGAAAAGAAGAACGATTCGGGAAGCTCTAGAGATAAAGATACACAAGTCAGCAATGAATAGGGGGTGGGCAAAGCTACCATTAGCCCGATTTGGGACGTTGCTTTGTGTTGACATGTGTTAGTTTTATAGAGAAAATGGGGAACCATAGTTGTTTTTTTTTTGCATCTCAAAAGTATCTAGATACTCTTTCTTGTCTTTGCATGATAGCCAAAGTACAGGTTTTAATGCATTTTTATAAGAGACCGTCTGGCGCTTTTACGATTCCGACTTTCGACGATGATACGAATCAGACGATGTATAATATCTTATTACGACTGTCATAACGATGTGTGATGATTTGAACTGTATGGTTGTTTCAGCGTATGCACAGTGTAAAAAAAAAGGAAGTCACAGATCATTGATAGCATCATAGCACGAACCTGTTTCGCATGTCATCACATTTGTATCGTCTTTTTGTATTTCATATTTCAAACCAGTGAACAAGGCTACTCAATAAAGCCGAAATATTTGGTTTTTAACAATTTTTTACCTCAGTGTAGCCCGAAACGAATACGAATTACTACCATTGGGTATGGTTACGAGCGAGCGAGCGCAGCGAGCGAAGCGAAGTCTTTTCAATATAACGGAAAAAATATCAGTATGAGCGGCCCGAACCGGCCTGTAACGCTTTTGAGAGGCTTATATCTCAGCAACCGCAGGACCGATTGGCCTGCGGTCTTTTTTGTTGGGTAGCCCCATCCCTTCTACCCCGTAACTGATTACTTTTGATACATCTCAGTGACCGTCGTGGCACGTGCCACGTGAAAAGTCAAGGGTGTTCAAGCTGTTTTGCAAAAGTAGTGATTTTGAGAGGCTCATATCTCAGCAGCCGCTAGGGCGATTGTCTTGCGGTAATTTTTGTAGGGTAGCTGCATCCCTTCTACCAAAAATAGGATACTCTCGATGCATGTGGGTCATCCCCAGTGCACGTGCATAATACAACAATAAGAGGTGTCAAATATGTTCCCATTTTTATAACTCAGTAATTACTTCGGCGATTTCGCTGAAACTTGGCATACAGGTAGGCACCCACCAGGCAATGCATTCCCATGTGTTGCGGTTAGGGTGCTACTGCACGTGCGCACGTGCAGGGGGCGTTTCCAGATCTCGAGAACGGCTGGGCCGATTGTGCTCAAATTTGGTACACGGCTGGGGACCGGTTAGTAGGGTGCCGTGCAAAAGTCAGTTTGGACCCCGTTTGCACGTGCGCACGTGCAGAATGCCGCTTCCAGATCTCAGGAACGGCTGGGCCGATTGCGTTCAAATTTGGCACACCGCTAGCGACCGTTTAGAAGGGTGCTTTGCACAAGCCCCGTTGGAAGTACCCTCTCGCCATTCCGCACGTGCAGGGCTCACTATCTCGCTCGCTCGTTCTTCGCCCAAAAGGCGTTTTACTGGTTTACTATGGTGGGAGTACCGGGGATGTAACTCACGTGCGTGACGACCACCTCCAGCAGCGGGTAGCCGGTCTCGGTGGCCACCTGGCGGCCCTCCTCCAGCCAGACGAGCTGCTGAATGGCGAACCGCGCCGGCGGCACGGGCGAGCGCGCGGCGTCCCCGCCCGCCGCCGCCGGGATGACCCCAGCCGCATCTGAGGCACGGACCAGACAAATGGTGATTTGATGGAATCAGGTGCAGACTGACTGAAGTCAGCTTTCCTGAATAACATTCTTATGCCGTCGAAAAAAAGAAGCAAAAACAAAAGTTCGTTCTCCAACAGCACTTGAACAGCTAAGTAGCATATCATTATCCAAATTTCCAACTTTACTAACTGGCTGAAAGTAAGGACTGAAATCAAATGAGACCATCGCGGTTTAGTGAACGTACGCGAGAAACAAACAGCTTAGTTAGAACTGCGCGTTAAACAATGAGGAACACGAATAAAGAGGTCCTCTGAAGCGCCCGCCGACCCTCCAAAGTGTTTGGCCGTGGTGCCCTATCAGCCGCGCCTACACCGACTGACCTGATTTGGGCGAGTGCAGTCGGCCCGTGTCGCCGGCAGCTGCAGGCCCCTGGGCGCCGCTGGCCGCGCGGGCCCGCCGCCCGCCCGGCCTCCTCACACTGACGTGCCAGTCGTCGTCGCGCTTCTCCAGGTGGAAGGGCGCGCCGAGCGAGGCCAGTGCCTCCAGCAGGCTGGTGAAGCCCTGCTGCTGGTAGTCGAGGCCGCGGCCAAACTCGCGCTGCCGACACACGGGGCGCGCCCGTCCAGTCACACCGCAGCCGCAGCTCGTGGAAACCCGAGCTCGCGGATACTACTCACACCAGCGACTGTGGCTCCCGGGTCCCAAGTCCCGAGTTCGACACCAGTCACGACGCGCCAGCGCACATACCTAGGTGCCACGTAGTTAGGTCGTAGATGTGAAACAGGTGCATTCTGACAGGGGGACATTCACCACACGGCAGGTACTCACGTAGTACAGGTTGGGGACGTCGGACACCTTGACGCACTCGCTCTGTGCGGAAATCACCTTCACCAGCTCCTCCGAGAAGCCGCGGACAGAATCCTCGACTGAAAATTACGACATTCACGTGTCAAGGATCAGGTGGAGTGGGCGTCATGGATTCGTGCTACCGTCTCTGTGATATTATATATTCGCCAAATCAGAGCATATTTCAAAATACTAAATGGATGAAAATGGATCCACATTTGTCGCCAAAATTCCATCATTAACGGACAACTTTGCTCCTAGCCAATGATAAGTGTATGAATCGGACTGAACGCGGGTTGCGAGCCGGCGAGCATGCGTGCGTGGTACGCGCTGTGTACCGAGTGCATCATGTGATATCGGCTGAAGTGTGCTGCACCCGCCATTTGAAGCACTCTGCAGACATGAAAAATGTACAGATGGGAGAAAGCAGTAGGTATATGCATAGTTTAAAAAGCAGTACTGCTTTTCTGCACCTGTCGTGTCGTCCAGACGGGTTTGGACGGGGGAACAGCACTGTACTCACAGGATAGGAAGGCAGTGGCTGGCGACGCGTCCTGGGCTTCAGCTGCGGTGGACGGGGTCGCTGAGGAGCCAGCGCCTGCGAACACAGCAGAGTAGTGGGTCACAGCCCGCCGAAACGGCAGCTCAAACTGCAGTGTTTGAGAAACAGCTGACGTCTCTAAAATAGTGCGACACAATAACCCGGTTTACATAGCATATTTGACGAGGCTCTAGCTCGTTTAATTGCCGATAATTTCGATGCATTGGTCTACAAATATTTAGAGGGGATCATTTTGTAAATTGTTAAGCACCATTGTCATCTTTTGCAACATCACGGACAGAGATATAAGCTTGCAACAAACCCTATGTAAACCGGGTTAATACTAACAGATGCGGCATAAAAAAAACAACTTTTGCCACGAACAAGGAAATTGGAGTAAGTTTAATGGTATACTTTTCAGAGTCTCAAGAGTAAATGTATTTTTTATTTAAATGATGGCAAATATTTCGATAATATATAAAAAACAAAAAATATATAATAATATAAAATATAATAATATATAATATAATATAATATATAATATATAATAAATAAAAAATAAAAAATACATTTACTCTTGAGACTCTGAAAAGTATACCATTAACTTATCAACCTGAGTAAAAGATAAAATGACTTTAAAGTCCCACTTGGTGTAAGTTTGATAAATAACTATGCACAATCACAGCTAAATCCAAACAATGAAGCACATCTATCCCGTGTTACGGTCCTCTTAAAGCGCCTCCATGCATTCGGTGTAATATGGCCGCAGCAGACTGCGATCGGTCAGTGGCCTAGGTGCTGAGATCAGTCAGTGGACTGGGCGTGTGATCAGTCAGTGGACTGGGTGCTGCGATCAGTCAGCTGCTGTGTCAGTGGGCTGGTCCCCTCACCCGGTCTCACCTGGCGCCGGGATGGGGAACACCTTGTCGCCGGTGGGAGTCTCCTTGAGTCGGACCAGCTCTGGTATCGACTCCATCAGGCCCTTCAGCGAGAAGAAGCCCAGGGTGATGTAGGCGATAGCGTGCCCGACCATTGCCAGGTGTTTCTGATTGAATTCGTCCAAGTATATTCCCTGTGCAAATTAACAATGTCATGTCACCGTCACCGCCGTGAACTAACATGCTAAAATCATACTTTCTTCTGAATGACTTTTTGAGAAAATCCATCAATGATGTCCTGAAGCATAGCCTAAATCAAATCAAAGAATCGCTACAATGAAACGAACGAAGACATGTCTCGTCGGCAACAGCTACATATCGCCCATACGACAAAGTGCACCATTTGATGGACGTCCGCGCTCCACCGCCCGGCTGCACCTGCCAGCGGCGGCCGGGGGAGGCGGCCCGACCAGTCTCCAGCTGTCGAACTCACCTGTGGGTGCTCGGCCACCAGCCGGAGGATCGACTCGCGCGCCTCGACGGGCACAGAGCCGCCGGCCGGCCGCCACGGCGACTCCGACTCGGGCGGCGGGCCGACCGGCCGCGGCCCGGCCGTGCCGCGCCGCCGACCGCCGCTCGTCTTGGGCCGCCGGCTGCGCTCCACCATTTTGAGCACGTGTTGGGTGGACGAGTCGCAGACGGGCCGGAGGTGCAGCTGTCCGCCGGGCAGCCGCTCGCAGCGGCACACGTCGGTGGCGTCGAGCAGCAGCTCCTCCGGCGAGAAGTAGCCCAGCCGCCGGTACGGGATCGACGTGTTGGTCAGCTCCCTGCACACCGACGGCGCATACGGACGGTTAGCACACCGACGGCGCGCGGTCAGCACACAGCACGGACGGCCCGGGTCAGTGGTCAGCACACAGCACGGACGGGCCGGTCAGCACACGCCACACAGCACGGACGGCCTGGTCAGCACACAGCACGGACGGCCCGGGTCAGCACACAGCACGGACGGGCCGGTCAGCACACAGCACGGACGGGCCGGTCAGCACACAGCACGGACGGCCCGGGTCAGCACACAGCACGGACGGCCCGGGTCAGCTATTGACGAAAACCACAGACGGACAGGCCCGGTCAGTCCCAACAGGATCACAAAATGCACCAGTCAAAGTTCAAGCGGCAGCAAGTGGCGTGAATACGTTTTAGCACTCACTGTATGTTGTACCTACTTAATAGTGACCGGTAAATGCAAAATGACCTCGCTGCATTTACGTTCATCATGCTTGACGGGAATAGAACAAGTGTTAGGTACGATGAAGGGACGCAGCATTAAGTTCTAGCTTAAGCGAGCCATTAAGGCTGGCAAGGTAGAAAAATGAATATCTCCAAAACACGACATATTTCCAAGAAGCTAACAAAACAAGTTCCTCACCTATACACCTTCAAAAATTTTTCGAGGGGCATGCCTCCTGATTCTGTGATAAGCACAGACCTCACATCCTTCTTAACCTTCTGGAGAAGTTCTCTTCCGTGGGAGTCCATTTGAGAGCTGCAGGAACGATGGAACGATGATCAGAAGAGAAATTCTCAAGTCAGCAGCCGCCATGGCACAATTACCTTAGACTCACAGCATGTCTAACATAAAAATATTGTCTGAGGCAAAATGACGGTAGTGGGAGATGAAGGTTATGCAATGCATGCGAGGCTGTGAGCACCATATTTTTAGGAGGAGCACCGAGCAGGTGTTTTTTCGTGAACAGCTCACAAAAAAGCGATGGAACACGACAAAACGGTACCCTCGAAGTCGAGCTTATCAATGTTTAGATGCCCAAAACATTTCATGATGACTCAAACAACCGTCGACTTCTGAACTCTTTCTCGAGATCACGTCCGGCCATAAAGTACCTATAGCTTCCAAGTTCCAAAGTTACAGCAGGTTCCGATATTCCACACATTTGGGCAGTACACTTCGCCATGAAATACACACCTCGCCCAATGACAAAGAACTTTAACCCTCGCACGTGCCCATTTTGCCAGCCGCGAACGGAGGGGGAGGGGGGAGGGTGCGTTGGAACCTCTTTTTGCCGTTCGGCCCCTGATCAAGCTAGAGCTTCGCGGACTAACACGAGCGTGATACCCGTGACGAGACTGAAGCCGATGATATCCCATTGGCCTAGGTCATTGGCTGACCTTCCAGGTCAGGTCAAAGGTCAGGAAAAGCGGGACCTGTCAGAACTTCATATACCTGGTGAAGTTGATGTTTTTTTTTGTATCAAGAATTTCATGTTAGTTTTGATCACAGCTCATGTCTTTATGCATTTAGGCCAGGTCGGGTCAGGTCAGGTCAAGTCAACCAGTAACTGTCCTGTCACTCGTCAGGTAGGTAATATACATACCTATAATAGAGTAGATGTCAACCACCACTGACATTATGAAGGCACCAAAATACTTCATCGTGAAGCCATTTTCACTTTTTTGAGTTATGCATGTTTTAACCCTCGCCCGTATAGGGGGGGGGGGGTCGAACGGACCCCCCATGGTTTTTCGCAAATAACTCGCGTAAAAATCGGCCGATCGCGACGAAACTTTCAGTACCCTCGCGTTCATCAATTTTACACCTACCCTGAAAATTTCATGACCCTGACCCAAATGACCTTTGACCTGTGACCTACTTTTCGAGACCATGTTTGGCCGGAATCGCGATTCGGCGTATGTCGGCTCGCATTAGCCGCGCGTTTGCAGTCTTTTCGTGGTTTCAAGCGTTCAAACATGTGATATGATGTTGCCCCATGCATTAGGTTGGGTGTCAAGAGTTTTTCATGTTTCTACTTTCTAGACCAGTTTTTGGAACTGAATTCGAATTTCGCAACCATATAAACATTTACGAAGTAGTTTTGGTGCCTTCGTAACATGTTACGAAGCTGTTAGAGGCGGTTGCCACCTACTACGAATACCCTTACTGGTTGACCTGACCTGACCTGACCTGACCCGACCTGGCCCAAATGCATGAAGACATCATCTGTGATCAAAACTAACATGATATTCGTGATCAGCACCCCGAAAAACCCCATAGCAGCCACACTTTACGACGTTCTAACAGGTCCCGATTTTCCCGACTTTTGGGTCATTGACCTGACCTGCAAGGTCAACCAATGACCTAGGACCTTAAAATTGGGTATCATCGGCTTTCTCTCGTCACGGGCAACACGCTCGTTTTTTCCGCGAAGCTCTAGCTCGATCAGGGGCGAAACGGCAAGGGGGGGGGGTCCAACGGACCCCCCCCCCCCCTTATACGTTCGCGGCTGGAAAAACAGCAATACGGGCGAGGGTTAAAGGGACAGTATCATCGAAAAAAATCCATGTATGGAGCTGATTTTTTTTTTTACTAGCATTTCTGATTTTTCTGAATCAGAAAAACATAGTTTGAGGACCGAACTCGGTGAAAAATATTTTTTCATGAGCGAGTCATTTTCATGAGCGAACCACCACTACAAGCATGGCCGCCACTTTGGAAGCCTGCGAAATTACTACAGAACTGGCGCAGATAATACATTATTGACGCTACGCTTACGCGGCCGCTCTTCTGATTGAGTTGTCGTTAGGGAAAGGCAGCATCATACATATAAGTCATACATTGGAGGGAGATTGTGATTCAAGCTGGAGGAATTCCTTTGTTGAGCCGCTGGAATCCGAAGGAAACAGCGGAAATTGCCTACGACTATTTAATGAATTTAACGGTGATGAATAAGTGCGAAAAACGTTTTGGCTTTATAAAATTTGATGAAATGACCAGGGTAAAAGTTTTATTACTGGCGGTCAATTCAAAACGGCGCAAACATTTAAACAGTGAAGATAGTGAAGCACGATTCAAAGTGTAGTACACCTTTCGTACTTTGAGTGGCGATAGCGGGATAACGGTGTGGAGCTTCGAGGATCGGTCTTCAGTTCCCGGACCAGAAAGGTGGGGCCTATGCAATGTCAAATTTCATCAAAATGGTGATACTGTCCCTTTAAGCAAGTTTTTGGAGCTGATTTTTAATTTCAAATTGAGCAATCTTCAAATGGCTGCTCAATTTAAAATTCAAAATCAGCTCCAAAAACTAGCTTAAAACATGCATAACTCAAAAAAGTGAAATAAGGTCATCAAAGGTCAATGACCTGACTGCATCTTCAGGCTTCACGTGACCTTGACACCCACCATAAAAGTAAAGCATGGAACCAACATCATTTCACATGTTTGAACATTTAAAACCACGAAAGACTGCAAACACGCTGATGTGAGCTGACTACGCCAAACTGGAATTCCGGCCAAACATGATCTCAAGAAAAAGGCCACATGTCATTTGGGGTCAGAGTCATGTCATAAGTGTTTTGCAAAATAACATTCAAGAAAGGATGCTGCAATGTGATGTATAATTTATTCAATAACAGGAATTAAAGCAAGTGACAAAATACGTTCAAAGTTCTTGTAAGATAAATTTCATCCTGAAACACAAAAATGACAAGTCAGAGTAACTAAACCCTTCACAAGGACCAACATGTTATATGTTTAAAGCAGACACATTTTGATAAAATCAGCAACGCAATAGTAGGAAATAAAATAAATTCTCACTTCATTGCAGCCAAGATTATAAATATCAGTCAAACAATGACACGATTTGTGTGCAAGCCCGACAATAAAATTTGAAATGTTTAACTCTCGTGCCTAAGCAGGAGAGTGACCGTTGCTTAGAATATAGGCTCTCGCAATAATACATGTAATTGCATACACTCCCCCCGCGAAAGACAGCTGGTCACTTTGCATCCGCTGCTCGGAGGGGTGGTCATTCTTCGTTGCCCTCGTTTCTCGTGTCGTCGGCTTCTTGCAAAAGCACCAGTCGATGTACGGACCGTTTTACGATAACGTCCGGGCTACCGTAATACTGTGACGATTTGCCCGTTTGCACCTTATATCGTATAGTCACGTCCCTGACCTTTCCGTCGCTATTTGCTTCGGTGTCCATTACTTCGGCTAACTTCCATTGTCCTCGAAGAGCGTTCGTGTCTTGTACTAGTACTATATCGCCAGGTCTTAAATTCCGTTCCTTCACATGCCATTTCTGTCTAACAACTAATGTGAAAAAGTAATCGCTCTGCCACTTCTTCCAAAACGAAGTTACTGCTCTCTGTATCGCTGTCATTCTCTGACTAAAACTGCCTGTTTGCTGCCATGGACCTTGGGGAACAGCAATGCCTGTTCTTCCCAAAATGAGATCATTTGGGCACAAGTACGTGCCTAGCTTTGGGTCTGCTCCCGGCTTATGCCCTATGGGTCTTTCATTCAACAAATTTGCAGCTTCAAACAGCACTGTTTGTAGTTCTCCTACAGTGAAAATCGTATCTCCAACAGCCAGAACCAAAGCCTTTTTCACGAGCCTGATCAGCGACTCGCTGCAGCCGTTTTGCCATGGTGCATCGGCTGATGTGTTGAAAGTCCATTCAAGGCCTTTGTGGACACCATATTGCGCAATATCAGGCCAGCTGAGGTTACTTGCAACATCTCTGAGTTCTCTGTTTGCTGCCATTAACTGAGAACCCTTGTCTGAATGAATGGACGCCGGGTATCCTCGAATAGTCACAAATCTACGGAAAGTCACCAAAAAATCCTTTGTAGCGTAGCCATCTACGACATCCAAATATACTGCTCTACTTGCCAAACAGTTAAATATGACTCCATACGCCTTCGCTGTGCTTCGTTTTTTGATCGTATCTCTGATAACAAATGGTCCAAACAGATCCAGGGCTGTATGGTAGAACGGTGGAGAAGGTTGCAATCTTTCCGGTTTCACTTCTCCCATCAGTTGAGTCTGTAGCTTCTTTTCGAATTTCCGGCAAATCACACACTTTGCTTTCACCTGCTTGATGAGCTTGCGTGCTCCTGGAACCCAAAATTTGCTTTGAACCTTCGCGAATGTAGCATCAACTCCGGCATGATCCAGGCAGTGCACGTGTCTTATATAAAGATGCGTAAATCTGTGATTGGACGGCAGCAATATGAATTGATCTTGGTTCCAATTTTCTTTTAACCACTTCGATATCCTTTGTCCCACGACGATTACTCCGAAGCTGTTCATACTTGGGCCTAGTCTGTTGAACCGCATTTGCCAATCACTCTGTAGAAACGTGCTTTGTGCATCTTTGATCCATATAATCTCTGCCTCTGACAAGGTGTTCACTGTCGGCAACTTCCCCATAACTCGCAGTGACCTTTCTGTTAGTAGGCCTAAAATGCGCGCGGTAACGCGGAGTAATTTGGTGAAGTTGTTGAATTTGTCCAGATTAATGACCTTTGCAATTTTGCAGTGCTCCCTTATTGGCTCTATGCTTGCTATATGGATTCCTATTCTGTCTGGTAGTTCTTGGTCTTTCACTGACTGAGAAATGGGCCATTCGTGAATTGGCTGTTGAAGAAAATGCGGTCCTTGTTGCCATATAGATGCAGGTCCGAGTTCGTTCGGATGCCGTGGCCTTGTCACCATATCTGCGGGATTCTCTTCAGATGACGTCCAC